GCAGGAAGCAGTACAGCAGGTAAGATGTTGTGTCAGCTGGGGAAAGAAAACAGGTCCCCAGTGGCAGATGGAAGAGGACAGTGAGGGAATGCAGGAAGCAGTATGGTGAGAATCCATGTATCTGTGGTCAATGTATGATACAAGGATGATGGGGACATTCTGTATTCTAGGAGTGTGGTACCTACCTGACAGAGCAATGAATGATGGTGCCCAGCCTGGGACCATAATGCAATTATTTAATATATGCCCTCAAAATGCTTATGTGTCATCTTTATGAAGGATGATGGCCCACCCTTGGCAAGCCTGACAACAAATGGCCTGCTGGGTTCACCTGACACAGGCAAGGGCATTTGCCCATCAGGGTCACCAAGGATGGCTAGGAATGCCGGGGTTCACCCAATATGGACCCAGAGAGGTCACACTGGCATCATCTTACTGCTGTCACCCAGAAAGGCAGAAGCTGACCTGGTTGTGTCAGGTGGGATCTGTCAAGGGAGTGCTGACACCACCTGACACTAGATGCCCTGCCATCCTGGCTGCTGGGCCCTGACACTCAGCTTTGCAAAGCATGGCCTACATTGCCCTGAGGCTGGCAGTCTGACAGAACCTTATGTATCATTACATGCATTACACTAGTTACATACTCAATGCAGGGCCTACTCAGGCCTGACAAATGCCGTGTCAGGTGGCAGGCCCTGATGAGTGTTATGACCCTGATCAGGGCATGCCCACACCTGGGCATATCCCTGCACAACTGTGGATGTATGTATATGTACACAATGCTATTGAATGGGTCTTTTTTTGCCTTGGCAAGTCATCTTTCATTCAAGGAAGAAGTAATTGGCCCTTGATGCCAACTGGGTTTTGTATAGATGCTGTCTATGAGGCAATGCACAAATAGATAAGAGTTCCTGAGTGATCAGATGTGCAGTCCTTACCATGACCAGTGTCATAAACACTGGTTTTTTTTGGCAATGATGGAAAATCATTGGCTCCTCACCAAGGAGGAGTGTGTACAAGGTGTGGTTCTCATCACTTTGATGGTACGCAGATCCACTCTGAGCTTGGTGGCCACCACTGCTAATGAGTACATGTGGTTATCATAACCAGCAACATGGATCCTCACAGTCATGTGATTGTGGCTTGCAAGTATCTCTTCCTGCAAATCAATCCTCAAGTATTCACAGTGCCTCAGAACCATGGCATGTGCAAGCAAGGATGGTATGCTCAAGTCACATGTTGAATCCCACCAGTCTATATTTGATGTCATCTTCCACCAGTGCTCATATCAGCACAGAGCCTATGGCTGTTGCTGTACACAGCTGGGTTCAGGAATAACCAATCTCATCAATTCTCATTCTCAAACACTACATCTGTACAATTCTGCTACAAGGAGACCCTTCCCACTGTGTATATGTCCAACACCAAATCCTGACTCAAATGGCAGTGTTGCTCAGGGTATCAACACACCTTGAACCACAGCAGTCAGTGATGGTGGTCAATATACAGTGAAGCAACTCACTCAGAGATTGCACAGAGGGTTGCCTGGCAGGCAAGGGTTATAGCAAATGCCATTGGGGGTACAGACACATGTGATCTCACATTTGCATGCTTCCAAGGGGGATGCATATGTGGACAAGCTGGCAGTGACAATGATGAGGAGGGCAAGGAAGCTCATGTTGTTGTTGGGCTTGCTGAAGATGGCTATAGATGTCTGAAGATTTCAACACATATGGACTGTCTGCTACTTATACATTACCTGCAACCTCCTTCCCACTTCATACTAAATGGAAGACAAAGCTGTTCTTGGGTCCTGACAACTGGATGACCAGAGATGTGCTTGACATGAGACAATACAGACAATAAGGGGATGAATATGGTGAGTAAGCAAGTCAGTCTTCATGAAGTCTGTTGATGATGATGATGGCTGTGTAGGTCATCATTGTCAATGCCAAATGCCTTGAGTAGCAGTCCCTTGATGTTGACCATGGTTTGCTTGTACAGCCAAACCAGGAGACTTGGTGTGCAGATATGCAGATGTGCCCAAGGCTGAGGTATATATGCTGATCATCAACTGAGCTCTGTTATGCTAGGGCATACTTGATGAGGACTCCAGACTCCCTGAAGAACATTTGACCCTCCTTGACAACAACATCAGAACAAGTATACAGCAAGAGCCAATGCATTGATCCCATGTCTCTCAACTTGAGAAAGATAGCTGATCTATGCTCCTGCCCTGGGCATTCAAAGGTTAGAGCCCTCCACACTTTGTCAGCATGATATTATCACTGGGCAACAAGCACGTACCAGTGACACACCCAGGGTCAACACAAGGATCACAGCATTTGTCCTGGTTACAGATAATGGGAAGACAGGCAGGCACAGCAATGCCTGCTGCAAATGTGCCGACAATGGCAATCATGACCATGTGAGGAAACTTCATCAATGTTGGTGTTGGGTGATGTCAATGACAAGTGTTGGTTTGGTTGAACCATACATGTATGTGCATGCCAATTCCATTGTTTCCCAAGATGATTTTTCTAATGGAACCAGACATGATAAGCCTCATGGCAGACCCCACTCCATTGCATAAATCATTGTTCCTGGAAAAGGCTCGCTGAGAGTCTGATGGTTACAAGAACATTGATCTCACATGATGTGTATCTGTTAACTGTATTTGGAGAGTATGTGCTTGTTCTCTTTTTTTCAATTTTTTTTACACACATGCCATCAGGATGCATGCACACCAAATTTAGGTTTCCAACTGTCTTGGAGTCAAGACAATGATCCAATGTGATTGACTACCTCTGAGTGGACAGTGCTTGCAACAAGCTTTCTTGTCAGGGCATGCTGTCAAAGCAAGATGACAATTCAACCAGTAACCCAAATAAGAGACAAGCCATGAAGGGGCACAGTTTGGAGTGGTTCAGATGAGCCTCAAGTAGATGCAGATGAACAACAGTCAAATGGGATAACACCCAAGACAGTATAAGTCAATCTCAGTGAACAGTTGGTTCTGGGGATACAGAGGTAGAGACCAATGACTTCAGTTCAATTCACACCTCTGAATGCATGATTTGACAAAGTGGAATTCCTGAGAGATCAGCGCTAAGGGGCATAAGGCCCCTTTGGCTGGGTATATATGTCTATCCAAAAAAGGAAGCAAAAGGGAAGCAGAACTGTGGCTGAGGAACTGTACATTACCAAATCAGTGCTGAACGGGCCATGAATGGTGAATCGGTGATCTAGTCAACCCCTCCCTGCTTCAACACATACTTCTCATCCGAATCAGGGTTTGCTGGGCATTCGGTGCACGAATGTTGGTCTGAATCAGTCCGAATTTGGCGTACCCTGACATTTCTTCACACGGGATGGGCCTCAAGAATTCTGCTACACTGCTCGTGATACAACATCTCTAACCGGACTTATTTTACGCTATCGCAAGCTTCGATTTGTTTGCCACTGTTCAAGGCTTTGCTTCACATGCTGAGTTCTGTAGACGTCGCCGTCAGCAGGGAATACTATCCTCGTATCGACGATCACTCGCCTTTGAGACAGTTAGGATCAACGCAGGGCGAGCAGCACTGGTTCTGCTCGTTGCAAATAATGAGGTCGCAGAACGGCACGGCGAGCGCGGTGCCAGCGAAACCAACGAAACCAACGAAGGCGAGGAAGGCAATTTGCAAGAACTTCGTTTTTGTCGTGGTCCACCGGCTGACTGTCTTGTGAAAGAGAATGCCTCGGTCGAACTTTTGACACGACATGGTCGCTTCACACCCACTTTCCCATCAAGGCGCAAACCCACGAGCATGTGCGAAATCCGGCCAGTGATGCCGTTCCTGGTTCCCAACATCTTGGGGCTGATGCTCTGCTTTTTTCAAGGGTGGGAATGTTGACGTGTACATGACATCTCCCGATTCGGCTGTATTCTGGTAAATACATGGGGATTATAGAAGTAAGGCACCGCTTTCGTCCACGTAATGATATGCCGAGCAAGAAAGCTCTTCTTTTTCATGTGACAACGACAGATGCCGGAAATATCACAGCACTCGTGACCGGGAGTACATCGTGGGGGTCTACACATTCCCAACAACCAACTGCGTTGTACTTCCCAGGGCATGTGTTTGATTTCCGTGCCAAACTTGAATCATCCTTGAGATATCTTCACATGTGCACGTTCGCTGCAAGTCTGATCGGCGTTCCACTGAGTATCTCCCCTCAGCAGCAGGCGGCACCAGTCTCTTCTTGAATAGGACGGACACTGCCTTCAGCACCGGCAAGGAGGACTCGGATTGCCGGGTAGACCTGGATTTGTGCACACCTCGGTTTCAAGGTCATACACATAATCAATCTCGCAGGCAACCAAACCTGGAAGAGGAGCAGATTAGCTCCCCGAGGCACCAGATGAGAGCGAGCTAAATTAGAGAACTGCATGATTGGTGTGAAACTCGGATGAGCAGCAGCTGGGGCGAGGGTTTGACTGATATTCGACCATCCAGAGCAGGATACTCTATATCTCTGATGGCTTGTGCCCCAGGTACTTTGTGGTCGAGCAGTCGCCGTGGAGTCTACAAATTCGTTCAGAAACGCTAGAGTTCTGATTCCTCCAATCTGGAATGACTGCCAAACGATGATTCCGCGATGCCAGAAAAAAAAAGTCGTGTCCGAGGACGAAATGTATAGATGCGCCCGACTAATATTGATTGTGTGTTACTTCTCGCGGAGGCATCGTGGCGTCGGCATCTTGCGTCCCCTCGGGACTAATGTACCAAAAACCGGTTGATGACACTACTCGGTGAGATGAGAATGGCCTTCGTATCCGGTGTGCATTGTCATTCGACAGTATCGGAATTCCGCGCACTTCCCCTTTCACCGCGCTCCTCTCTCCTGTAGCCAGAGCTAGGAACCGACCTCTCAGACTCTTGTGCTCCGTCCGTAATCCAGTCAGCACTCCATAAATCACCGGAGACATCCAACCTCACCTCGACAAGTATAACCGATTAGAGCTCGCTCACTCCCGGTGCGCCTTCAGGACCACAGCAATTCGGTGCCTCGGACTCGCAGGGGTTACGGCAGATAGGATCGCAGATGCAGCAGGCTTCGCAGTGGATTTGCGCAAGGACTGGGGCGGAACCGGCGAGGGCGAGCAGTAGGAGGACGTTGATCAGGCGCATTGTGATGGGGAGTTGAGTGGGCGGGTTCGGATTACTGGTTGCCGGTTAGTGGGGTAGAAGGAGTGTCGCGAGCAGATTTATACATGAATGATGCCAAGAGCGTTGAATGATGACTCGGGCTTCTCATCATCAAGGGTTGCTTGACAGCCGGCCGAGAGCTGCGGCCAGGAAACGCCTTGCGCACTCGTGACCGTCGTTGACAGAAAATACCAGAAGCAGGGCAAGAATGTAAGCTTTGTATGGTCGAGTGAATTGACGTTTTTTTGCTCGCAGGTGGATTTGGGAGGTTCGAGCCGCGAAACAGAGGAAGGTACGCCGAAGCGCTTGGTATCCTGCAGTTCTGTAGCTGGAAGCATGCTGTTCCTCCTTGTAGATGAGAGTAGAACGCAGTCGAGGCATGAAACGGATGATGTCCACTAGAAGGAAAGTGGTATTGGCAACACCACCAGCGGTCTAACGGTGGACAACATTATTCATCCGTTCATGGATCATGCCGCTCCGTCATCGTTACCAATCTCCCAGAGGGCAACATCGTTCTACTCCGCAGCGATTCGCGCGCATATACCTTCCGCCGGCTGGGAGCGGCACGAGGTGAGTAGGGAGGCTCCTAATGGACGGACTGACTGGTAGGCGTGAGGACCGAGGGGCAAGGAGCAAGGAGAGAGACGGTTGTATGACACGGCAGCTGTGCAGGATGGGGGATGCGACCCGCTTGAGCATATACCTTCCTAGTATACGTGGGTTAAGGATGGTGTTGACGAGGTTGACTGACGAAAAGGAGCGGGTGCAGTAGGAGGGAGTGCCGTACCTGTTGACCATGAGACGTGTCGGACAGCTGGATAAGGCTGAGTGAAGATCACCGTGGGTGTTATGACCGGATGTACGACTGCAGTGCCCGCAGAGCGGTCAGTGCCGTCCTAAGCGTGGTACACGCGGTTCCTCTTCGTCCGAGACAGCCCAAGAGGGCTGACCAGATACCGTTTCTGTCGCAGTCTGATATGCTCGTTGCACGACCGCAATCCAGATATTGTAGGAAGCTATATGCGTCTAGGTGGGAGGGGATATACCGCGGTGGAAGGTTATTGATGCAGTGAGAGACGAGACGCGTCCGAGGAATGAGTAAAGCAGCAGTGAATCAACTGTCCATTCCCGAGTAGATCAATTGCTTGGTATGATGCCAATCCAGCAGCAGTGAATGCACACGTCGTATCCTGCCATGATGTCGATGCAGGAAAGGAAAGTGACTAGCAGGAGTAAAGGGAATTCGCTGCTCCACGGCGAGTGTACAACGAGGACTCTGCATGGTCGGCGTCATCCATCCTGCGATGGTAAGTAAGAAGGCGACAGCAAGCAGAACATGGAGAGGAGCGACAAGATATGGAATGTGAACTGATATAGATTGTGTCTGGCGTCGTAGGTGTTGTACGTCGTGAAGGGTATAAGTAGAAAACGACGTCCACCGACGACGACGGTGACTCTTACTGCGCATAGAAGCATATACACAGCATGGCCTCGTGGTTGCCAGCCGTCGTCCATCCCATCACTTCCTCACACAATATCCCTTCGGCGCCCTCTCTCTCTTACCACCACCATCCATACCACCATCCATACCACAATACATTTCACCAACAACAACAGCGACGTCGACTACCCCCATACCATCATTCACCAATGTCGTACGGCGCCGCTTACCCGCAGGGCGTCCCTTTCCCTCAGCAACCGTACCCTGGCTACCCAGCCGGATATCCACAACAACAGCTACCTCAAGCAGGCGCATATCCCTACCCAGCTGCACAACAAGCCTACTATGGACAGCCCCCGCTCGCATATGGCCAACAAGTCATGCAGAACGGCGTCAACTACCAGGCGCTTATCCCCCGTACGGTCACATACCGCGATCCCCAGACTGGCGAAATGAAAAAGGGCATACAGTATCTCCCGCCGCATCTTGCTGGGCTCGCTCAGGGTGGGGGAGGGGCAGTATCACCAACGTATCCGAATTACCCGACTTACTCTGCCGATCCCAGGATGATGAACGCTCAGATGCCCCCATTTCCCGCTTTCCCAGTCATGGGTACTATACCCAAGAAAGACCAGGAACGCGCGGTGAAGGAGTACAACAGGCAGTTGAAGGAGTACGAACGTGTGAATAGGAGGATCACCAGGGAAAACGAGGGACCGGGGTATCCGCCAGGTGCAAGTATGGGAATATATGACCGTGAGCGGGAGAGAGAGATGGACAGGGAAGGCAGGGAGGGTAGGGGCATGTTTGGCAACTTGTTTGGAAGGCGCGATAGGGGCGAGCGAGAGAGGGAGAGAGAGCGTGAAGAGCGCGAGAGGGAACGGGAAGAACGCAGGCATATGTCCGACTACGTGGGTCCCACTGCTGGCCCTCCCCCACCTCCCCCTGGTGCTGGCCTCAACCCGGGGCTCGGCGCAGGCACTCGTTCCCGCCGTGGGAGCTTGGTTAGCGCTCCCCCGCCTGTGATGCCTGGTGTTGGTACGGGACCTATGGGAGGCGGCATGCCCATCCCCCCCATGGGCGACCCTGTTGGAGGCCTAGCGAACGCCATGGGGAACTTATCAGTCGACCCGATGGCGGACTATACGCGCGCTCGCAGGCTGAGCGGGGACGAGCGGAACCTTCGTAGGGAAAGAGCAGAGCTCGACAGGGAAGAATACGAACGCGAACGACTCCGCGCGCACAGCAGGATTGGAGATCCGGAGGATATCATCGAACGCACTAGGTCGAGGGCCGCGGATAGGGAGGAGATAGAGAGGGAAATGGAGATGGCTGGGGTGGGACCTGGGCCGGCTGGACCTGGGTTGGGGCCTGCTTCATTGGGCTCTGCAGGACTGCGTAGTGGCAGGCTGGGGAGAAGGCCCAGCATGCAGGATATCGCTGCTGGGGCCGCTGCAGGTGGGGGAGTGCCCATCCCCCCTATGGGAGGACCAGCAGGTGGACCGGGGATGGCCCCACCTATTCCTGGTGTCCCCGGCGTAGATCCTTACCTCTCCGGCCACAGTAGGCGGAGCACGGTGGATGACCGGTATGGGCCCCCTCCTCTCCCTGGCGCGGGGGGGATGCCGGCGCCCATGCCTGGTGGACCTGGTGTGCCGGGAGCGGGGCCTTACGAGAGCAGGCATAGGAAGATGGGGAGCGCTTATGATCGGGAGGAGATGCGTGAGCGGGAGAGGGAGGATTTGCGCGAGGACCGCCGGGAGCGGGAAAGAGAGAGGGAGAGAGAAAGAGATGGCAGGGGTGGGTATCCTCCTGCTGCTGGGTACGGGGCATATGGTGCTGGGTATGGGCAGGGGTATGGCGCGTTCGGCCAGCCGTACGGCGCTGGCGCTGCTGGAGGGTACGGCGCGGGCGGGTACGCTCCTGGGTACGCTGCTGCCCCGGGGGCGTACGGCGCTCCCGGCCAACCAGGAGGAGGATACGGCGCCCCGCCCGCAGCGCCGGGGGGCGGGTATCAGTACACAAATGGTGTGCCGCCGTCCTTCTCCCGCCCGATGGACAGTTCCCTCACATTCGAGACGTTTCCAAAGTTCATGGTCCTGGAGGATATTGACCAGCTGCTGATGCAGCTCCCTCCACGACCGGGCGTGCTCAAGAGCCATGATGTGAACAGGGATGACTGGGATAGGTTCGTTACGGTGAGCCATGGGTTAGGGGATTCTGGCATGCACTGATTGGGCACAGGATTTGGCATATGCGTGGTCGGGAGAGATGGGGAGAGCGTTGAGGCGTCCTAGGCGGTCTCATTTGCTGGTTGAGATCGTCGAGACTTGGTACGCGATTCATGGGGTATATAGTCTCGTGCTAACGCTATTCCACTCTAGGAACTTGGAATTCTTCATGCGGCGTGGGATAGAAGCGATATTGTACAAAGGGCGTGAGCGGCGCACGGGAGATATCGAGCGCGCTCATTCTGAAGAAGACGACGAAGACGAGTATGAATACGGGAGCGATTCCTCAGACGACGACGACACGGACTATTCAGAACGGGCGTACATGGGCCGCGGGCGGTACAGCTACAAGCCTGGCGAGGCATTCCGCTATGAAGAGGCCGCCAGAGGGTTACTGGACCGATATCGCCAGAGGCGGGAGCTGAGGAGGACCAGGAGGCGCGAGCAGGAGAGAACGCACCGAGCACCCGAGAGGAGAGGAGAGAAGCTCTGGAGCTTGTACTTCACCGCTATCCGCTATCATGGTCACTCGCTCGTCTAACCGTCTTTCCACAATCACCACAACTAACACCACTAGATTCACATCCACTCCCCGTTCGATACCGAGGTTCCGACAGCCAATTTTCTTTCACATCCTGGTTCTCTCCACTCACCTTCTGCACCAGATACCGTTCTCCCCAGTGTTGGTCTTTCATGTTCTGCTTTATTTCTGCTCTTGGTCTTCATTTTTGCTCTGTCTCTTTCCATTCTCTCTAGCAATACAAACGACTCCTTTTTATTGTATCGACGATAAGCCCAAATTCATGAGATACCGTAGCTTGCAAGAATCAAGAAGAAAAAGTAGTTCATATTATTCCTCAACCGGGTGCATCGCCACTAAGCTTGGAACTGCGTTTGTCTTCCCAGCCAATTCAATTGCAACTTGACATCAATCATCTTCTTCTCTGGACATCTGTGTTACTTCAATGCTCGCAGGTCGACCACCCCAGGCGCTGGATATTAGTTTGGTCGGAACGATGAAAGCCTGACCCTCCACCTCCATTCGCTCCGAGGCTCCGAGAGCCTCCTTCGGGCCGATCTGAGTGCCGGTGTCACACGGCCAGCCAACTAACGGATACCGGTAGGGACGACCGTGAAGGTTAACTCTTCATGCTGGAATACATATATGCACCTCTCTCAAGAACTATGTGGGGTAACACCATCTTGAATCCGGGGTAGTCTGCCTCTCCGCGTGGTTACTGGGAACACGCATCAACATGGCATCTCCGCTGCCTGCTGCACAATGGTGGCGCAAGCCATTCGGAATGTTCCAAACCAACCTACGGGAGATCAACGCTGATATGGACGTCGAGAAAGCACTGGATTTTATCGAGGCGCATGGTGCACAGGCGTGGCTCATCGGCACGGGAGGCATCCTGGCGTACTATCCGACCGACCTCCCTTTCCAGTTGCGCAACCCGCTCCTGACGAAGCGCACAAGTGGAGACTTGGTCGGCGACGCGATCATAGCTGCGCACAAGCGCGGCATACGCTTGCTTTGCCGTATGGACTTTTCCAAAGTGCAACCATCTGTTGCTACCGAACACCCGGACTGGTGCTTCCGCTCCCCTACTGGTGAACTGCAGACACACACCGGCGATCTCGTCTCAGTCTGCCCATGTGGACCCTGGTATCAAGAAAAGGTGTTCGAAATCCTTGCCGAGGTCACCACTCGATATCCGGTCGATGGAGTCTTCTTCAACTGGATGAGCTTTAACGAGACAGACTACAACAAAGTGTACCACGGTGTTTGCCATTGCCCGACGTGCGTACGAGAGTTCCCACTCAAGACGGGTATCAAAGACCTACCCGACGGTCCCCAGTCATCGAGTTACGAAACATGGCTCAAGTTCTCTAAAGGCGTGATTGACGATCTGACCGGTCGGATTCGGGCGTTCATCTCTGAGCGTGCGGCTAACGCAGGCCTCATCCTCGGCACAGCGGCAGATATTATGTTCCACGAAGCAAATAACGCACTTGGACGCGAACTGTGGCACCATGCGACCAGCGAGTGGGTCTCAGCCTTTCGCTCGTACCGCCCAGACGTACCAGTCCTCGTCAACAGTGTTACCTTTCTTGACATGCCGTATCGTATGGCAGGAGAAGAGCCGCATCAATTCGCGCAATATCTCGTACAGACTATCTCACGCGGTGGCAACCCTTCGACGTATATTATGGGAGCACCGGAACAAATTCCCTATCCCTGCTACGAGCTTGCCGGGCAAGTGACGCGCTTTCACAAGAAGTGGAAGGACGAAGTGTACACTGGCATGGATCCTTGCGCTAAGATCGGACTGGTGCGGCCGGATCGTCTCCAACAGACAGCAGATCAATACTCTCAGTCACAGAAAGAGTTTCGTGGGCTCTACTCTGGTCTGCAACAACGCCACATTCTATTCGATGTTATCGCGCAAGAGTTCATACCCAGCATGGCTCAAAACGGAGGCATTGGACGATACGAAGTCATCATTCTTCCCGATCTCGGAAAGCTTTCTGAAGACACCGTCACGGTTTTAGACGAGTTGGTCGATAACGGCCATAATGTCATCCTGACTGGAGCCAGTGGTATGGCACAAGATGGTTTCCAGTTAAAATGCTCCCCAGCAGTGGCGTGCAGGAGAATCATTAACAAGCGAGAACAGATTTGGTCATCCTATGTGTGTCCTGTGCAAGCACAGGGCGACCTTCAAGTTTATCCTGCCCCAGTTGTTCCCCTTTACGGAGCTTATTACTTCTGCGATTGGAAGTCGAATACTACCTCCTATCTCAAGATGCTCGAACAAGCACCGTTTGCACCCCCTGAAAAGGCATATGGGAATAAGCAGGTAGACGAGCCTGGATATTTCATAGGAAAGTATGGACAAGGCCAGATCGCATACGTTCCTTGGACAGTCGGACGGGCGTACCACGACCTTGGATTGACGGTTATCCGTGACATGTTCTGCGATATCATCGGCGATCTGCACGCCACAGATGTCATCTCCACAGATTTGCCAGAACAAGTGGAAATCACCCTCAACAGAAATGCAAAGGACCTCATTGTTCACATCAACAACATGTCGGGTGCTCGAAAGTCGAATTTTGGCCCACCCATTCCGATCCGTGGAAGTACTCTCACGATATCCGGAGCCAAGAACTCAGTAACTGCGAGGAGTTTGATACACGACGCTGAGTGCGAGGTCATCTCGCGACAAGCTAATGTCGTCATTTTGCTGCCCGAAGTAGGCATTTTTGATGTTATTGTTTTGGGCGGGGTGTAGAAAATGAACACCGTGCAAATCTCAAGACGTCGAGCCAGAGAGAGACGGTCAAGAAAAGACATACATGGGAATGGGTTCGGTAAAGGTACTATATAAGGGACAACACGGCAATACGAAGCTCTCCTATCGTTTACCATAATGATACAATCAGTACCGTGCACCGCGGCCTCTAGCCCCACGGTTCCGTGTGAGGCCACTGGCACGCGTGCCGCTGCCTCCCCGTGCAGGGGGACCCCCATAAGAATCGTGTCCGGATGATCGTCCTCCATACGAGCTTGACTCATTTCGTTCTCCATATCCACCGTACGAGTTCTGAGGAGGGCCGTTATATCCACCTCCATATGCACCCCCATAACCACCGTATCCGCCATAGCCACCGTATCCACTTGCGCCATTACCATAGGCGGCACCACTCGGTGGCCTGGCCCCTGGAGGCGGTTGTCCACGTGCATCATAAGAGCCACCATATCCACCATAGGGAGGAGGACCCGGCTGACCTCCTTGCGCATATCCTCCATAACCACCGCCATAGGGGTCGCGGGTTGGGGGTGGTGGACCACTAGCACGCCTTCCGCTTTGCTGGTTGTCGAATCTTGGAGGGCGTGTTTGTTGCCCTGGCCGTAGATCTCGGCCGAACTCGTCGCGTGCACCTTCAGAGTAGCCAGAGGCTCCATATGTGCCGCCATTGGAGCTCCCGTAACCATTTCCTCTACCGCGGAATGCATTCGGGTTGTTGTCCCGCATATAACCACCACCTCGGCCCCGACCACGGCCACCACCAGATCTCACGTACTCGATGTCAGAGTTATCCAAGACCCGTGGAGGCATTCGAACGCCTCGAAGTAGTATAGATCTGTGCGGTGTAAGCTGCTTGGGATAGAAATATAACACCGACAGCGAGTGATCGTCTTCGATGTCGGGTAGACCCTGACTAGTCAAAGGAGAGAAGTATGTTGAACCTGGAACACAATCGGGATCCGCCATGACGGATCCCCCCATACCAAAGCTCTGCTTGGTGTTTATCGGGGTTGGCTGTTTCGGGTGTCAGCATCGCTAGTAAAGAAATCGACACAGCAACTCACAGCATTCGCGCGGCGCTTGCCATAAAGCACTGACAGAGATTCGAATAATGGATGTTGATCTGAGATGAACAGCACATTGTTACCCCATTTATTGCGCCTGATCTCATCTTCTGTCAAATTAGAATATTTTGTAGCCATCGCATCCAGCAGCCGCTTCTGTTCGATGAAGGGCAAGAGGGCAACGCCTTGCCAGGCCATCTTCTTCCCATTCATGTCAATCTCAAACGTTTCCGGATAAAAATCAATAATCGGGGATGTGTCCTCAGTCATAAGCTCGTGGAAAGCGGATGGTATGTGAACGCGACTATTTCATGATGAGACATTTCATATGAAAATAACCACAATGGGACTCGCCTCGAAGCAGGAAAAACACCCATGAGCTGTTCATAGGGCTTGAAGGGAGCGCCAAGGTCAAACTTAATGTCCATCTTCCCGACGTCTTCAAAGTCCTGAGCAAAAGGCGCAAAATGATACGGATAATACCATTGCCAAGATGGGGTCTAATGGGATATTCAGTAAGAAGTCAACAGCACAAATCAAGACGTACGCCTTGGTAATAGTAGTGCAAAACCCAAGCAACGCCTTCAATATACGACTTTGTAATGCTGCAGCAAGAAGTCAGTCATGCCAAAGTAGCTATAGAAGAGGGGACATACGAGTTGACGAAGTCGCTGTCACTAAGCTCGACACCGAACTTAGAACGGTAATAACGTTCCCTATATCCGGGCTCCCAAAGCCTTGTATCTGTCAGAGAAGGAAATTGAAAGTTGCGAAGTGTCATTTACCTGACCCGGTCCTCCTGTTGGACTGTCCCATCTTCGTTCTTCGTCAGTTTATGAGGCTGGGGTTCATTGGCAGCGTCCTCGTCAGCCTCTGACGCACTCTCGGCTCCCAAAGACTCGTCGCCCTCCATCTCATCTGCCTTGCGCTTCGTACCAGGAGTCACATTTGTGTCACTCTCCCGACCAACGGTCACCTCCGCCATCCCGACGTCCGCTGCTAGGTCGTCAGGCACGTCGGTGGTAGGGATGAAAGGCCCGTCCGCCATAGTGGAATGAACGAGAGGCTCCCTGGCCTGGTCGGTGATCCCAGATGGAGGGATTACATGACTAAGCACCTCCGCACGCCGATCGTCCCGCTCGGGACCCAGAGCCTCAACTGGAAGATGACCATTCATGACTGGATTTATGATGCTCTCCATCTCCGCATGCATGTTGATCTCAGCTGAGGAGTCTTGCACAGGTGCACTGCCTACCTCTGAAAGGACAGGCACCCTCAGTTCACTCTTCTCAGTGGCCGCTATGGACTCGTGGGCTGAGATGGGGGCACCATTGGTCTCTTTGGCAGTCTTCGGAACACTGTCCGTTGTGGTTGGTTTAGGCGGCTGCTTGGGGGCATTCCTGCCTAGAGGACGCAAGGTGGCCATTTCAGCCTTGAGCCTCTCAGCAGCACTCAGATTCGCAGTCCGAATCAGGTGTCGATTATGGACGATGTCATGATTGGTACCACCAACAGGCGTTGATACGGCTGATTGGGTCGGTTGCTCTGGCTGAGACGGAGCAGAGGGCTGAGCAGGTTGCGCAAGCTGCGCAGGGTGGGGAGACTGGGCAAGATATGGCGGTTGTGGAGGCTGGGGGGGCTGAGGGGGATGAGCTGCCACAGGAGTCATGGGAGTCGCAGGAACAATGGAAAAATTGGGCCGCGCGGGCAATGATGGATGAATAGGTGGGGGGCCAGAAGACGTAGACGTTGTATTGGGAACCGGGACGTATTCTTGTCCGCCATACTGCATGCCATTGGTAGGCGGCCGATCTCCAGACTGCTCTAAACGTCTGCGCTTAGCATTCTGGTCTTGGCGTTCTTCGGCTACATAATCAAAGCAAGGTCATCGTTATGTTCACAGATTGATATCATCTCAGCTCACCCTCTTTCCGCCTCCGGAAGATGTCATTCTCACTCTGAGCTAAGCCCTCAAGAACAATCTGGATTCTGTCCAACTTGACCTGACCATTATCGGTCATATAACCACCCATACGTGGCAGCTCCTTCTTCCATATACGGAGCAAGGTGTCAATGGCACCCTCTCGAATGTCAAGGGAGGGCATGTGGGGCAAGAAGTCATTTCCAACAAAGAAGATTAGGAAAATCCAATCATCGATAGCTCGCTCAAGATCGAAGGGGAATGGGGTGTAGGGGATGTTAAGTTCGACCTCGAGATATTCCCTTAGCACTTCCACATTCAGGAAAATGAAAGGCTTTTTCTCCGGCGGGCTGGACTTCACATCATGTTCGTCTGCTCTGATTTTCTTAGCGCCAGTACATTGTGCTGCAAAATGGCCCTCCTGGCCGCAAATACGGCACCCCTTCTTCTTGGCGTCGTCGGCAAACACATCCTCCCGTAGTACGCGGAAGTGCGGCTCGTGAGTTGCCAATGACAGCATAATCAAATCAGCATCCTGCACACTGTCAACCTTCTCTTCCGCATGCGAGAGTAGAAATGACTCACCAATCCATAAATAACATGCTGTGTGTTTGGGTCATGATCTGGGTTCACTCGCTGGCGTCGAATGAAATCCATAATTTTATGTTCTCCTTCACCAGGGACACTTGCATCGGAGATGATGACCTCGAGGTTCTTCCATCCGGGATCAGAATTAATCTTGGACACGACCCAGTACCTCAGCGATGTAGCGAGGAGTTCCATAAATGGTGTCCCGGGAGTTATAGCATTCGAATCCCATGACTTTTTGTTCTTGGTCTCTTCACTGACCTCGTGGCCCACGGCTAGTGGAGGGTCAGGAAGGGTCGATAAAAGTGCGCAACAAATTTGGCATACCTTCAAACCAGCGCAGTGCTTCCTCTCTCTCTTCTTCTTTCTCTCTGGCCTCCTGCGCAGCACGGAATCGCCGGGAACGCTGCTGGTTCATTTTGGCACGAGGGGCTACACCGTCAATTGCCATGAATAGGAGGCGTCGCGGCCGGACCATATTTACGACGCGTTCTGTGTACCTGAAGATCTCGACCATCATTTCTTCTTCAGTCTCAGGGGCCGGCTATTGGGCTATTCAGGATGTGATCTCTGAGACAAGCATACGATGGGCGTACCTTTCCCTCGGGGTGGGTACAAGGGTGAACAATGCCATTCATATCCAAGTACAAGCAGTCGAGCTCAACCCCATTGGGGTTGGGCGTTGTGATGTCGACTGGGAGTTCTACTTGCTCGCCATCTGCATTTGCCAAAGGCAAAGGCTCTTCTTCAATAACAGGACCGACTGTCAAAGCATTAATAGTGCAATATCGTAGAATTAGAGGGTAACACTTACTGATCTTAGGATACTTTTTTGACAGCCATCTGAAGAGAGCGGGAACACCCTAGTGGGTTTTGTCAGCCCTCAGACAGTGCGCATGTACATAAACATACCATATCACGATAGTCAAATTAGTGGCAGAAAATATAGATAGCCAGTCTCGTAAGAAAGCAACACGGAAGAGGCTGAGTTGATGTCGGTCGTAGACGTTAATGAGGGCGTTTGGATAGGGCCTGACGTTCAGTTCGGAAAGATGAGTAGGTAAATACTTCCGTTCATGTGCTTCTTTCGGAATCTATTTATCAAAACTCACTAATTTGGGAATGATGAATTCGAGTCAGGGACTAACACGCATCGTCCTTTCGACTTGTCCACCACTAACAATGGCTGATAAACCACCGAAATCTCCTACGCAAGCGAAGAGTAATGTACCGCAGAAACCGAACAAGAAGAGTGTTGAAGTTAAGGCGGGAAATTCAAAGCCAAACGGACCCCCGGGAGGCGAGCCGCCAAAGAGGAGGGCGCAAAAGGAGATGACGAAGGCAGAGCGGCGGCAACAGCAAGAGAAGCAGCGCGCTGCAAAGGCAGCATCACAACCTGATGGGGGAGGGAGCACTAAGGATGGCCAACAAGCAAAGAAGAGCGGACAACAAGGCGGCCAAACTGCAGACCAGAACGCTCCTCGGACTCCTCAGGGGCAACATAGCGCTGGTCGGGGCACCAGCGTTCCAGATGCATCAAGCGTTCCTACAGAAAAGAGGGCCAAGGAGGCCATCCCTCCACCATCCGCCCCGACTCATTCGCGTCTGTTTCCTCATCTACGCCTCCCTAAGGCTGACATTCTGGCTGCTGCTTCGGTTCCTGGCACCTCGAAAGCCGAAATCCATCCTTCCGTGCTCCGTCTCGCGCTGCAGTTCAGCTCTTTCAAGATCACTGGAGGGAATGCGCGCTGTATTGCAACTCTTACTGCCCTGAAGACTGTGAGCTGACCACTTGATACATGCCGTTCTCTGACAGAGTATTCCTCGTTAGGTGATCAACTCCTATTCCACTCCTTCCGGAACTACCTTATCCCGACACCTCATGACATACCTCTCTCCCCAAATCTCGCATCTAGTTACTGCACGACCTATGAGTGCTAGCATGGGAAATGCCATCAGGTGGTTGAAATACGAAGTCTCTGTACTTTCCATTGATCTTCCGGAACAAGATGTAGGCGTGCCCAATTGCTTCTTATAGAAAGAGGCTTACGCGTCACTTACAGGCAAAGGACCACCTATGCGAACGCATAGACACGTATATACGAGACCGGATCACTGTTGCGGATCGTGTGATCGAGGATCATGCAATGGAGAAGATTCACGATGGTGATGTTATACTCACCTATGCGAGGTCATCATCTGTCGAAAAGGTGCTCAGGGCAGCGCACGAGGCGAAGATCGTATTCAGTGTCGTGGTTGTCGACTGTGATCCTCTCTTCGAGGGAAAAGCGCTCGTGGCTGCCTTGCCCCCTGGTCTGTCTGTGTCCTATGTACTCCTGGGTTCGTTGTCGCCAGTTCTGCCTACTGTATCGCTTTGTCTCTTTGGCGCTCATTCACTCCTCGCCAACGGAGGTTTATACTCGAGAGCGGGCACAGCGAGTGTTGCTATGATGGCACGCGGGAGGAATATCCCGGTTCTTGTATGCTGCGAGACCTACAAGTTCAGCGAGAAGGTCTGGGGAGACGGTGTAACCCACAATGAATTGGGTATGTCTTCCCTCTGAGAGTTACGGCCTGTCACTGATCAGAGCGATAGCGCCGACTACCTCGCCATTGGCACCTGCCCCGACGGTCTCTTTGGAGCATATAAATCTCTTATACGACTTGACGCCGGCCTCCTATATCACTGCGGTCGTAACCGAAGTTGGTCTCATTCCCCCCAGTTCGGTGCCCACCGTCTTGTTCCGCCAGGGAGTCACAGCGTCTCAGGGTCTCTAGCTGTCCCGGTCTTTTATGCATTGCGCTCGTCAGACTGTTATTCCATTTGCTATTTAATTTCACAAGTGGGAAATGATTCTTGTTTTCCTCAACATCAACCCGAATATCGGTACGACAGATGCATGCTCACATCACATGTCTACACCTTCGTCATGTCAACAACGCAGCGGATACACTCGCCGTCATGCATGTCATCGAAACCCGCAGCCAGATCCCTAAGCTCACGACGATGAGTGACGTACTCATCAACCTTCATCTTGCCTGCCAGGTAGTCTTCCACCAGGCCCGGAAGCTCGGTGCGACCCTTGATACCGCCGAAAGCGGTGCCACGCCATGTGCGGCCAGTGACGAGCTGGAAGGGGCGAGTGGAGATCTCCTTGCCGGCGGCAGCAACACCGATGACGGTGCTGACACCCCAACCACGGTGGGATGCCTCGAGAGCAGCGCGCATGACATTGACGTTTCCGGTGCAATCGAACGTGAAGTCGAGACCACCATCTGTGATCTCGACCAGGTGATCCTGGATCCTCTTCCCTTCCGGCAAGTCCGTGGGGTTGACGAACTCGGTCGCACCGAACTTCTCAGCCCACTCCTTCTTCTTCGGATTGGTGTCAATGGCAATGATCCGGGATGCCTTCTTAAAGCGGGCGCCATTCAGAACACCGAGCCCAATACAACCACACCCGAACACGCCAACTGTGCTCCCCTCTGTTGACGCAATATCAGACCGCATGAGGGGGTCATTAACTCCGCGGACTTACCAACGCCCGGAAGCTTGGTGACAGCACCCCATGCCGTGGTGATACCACAGCCCAGAAGACATACTTTGTCTAGCGGAGCTTGGGGGTTGACTGCCACGACAGAGACGTCCGCCACAACGGTGTATTGAGAGAAGGTGGAGGTACCCATCTATCGTAATCACGAGCATTAGATGCCCACGCTCTGATTGCAGAGGACAGGGACGCACGAAGTGGTAAACATCCTGGCCCTTGCACTTGAAACGCGGTGTGCCATCGGGCATGACGCCCTGGCCTTGCGTAGCTCGGACTGAATAACGGAGATTAGTATATGCGTGTCAACCTGCTGACTGCTGGACTTACCTTTGATGCATAAGTTGCTCTTTCCGCTCTTGCAGTACACGCACTCTCGGCACTCTGTAACGTGCTGTCAGAATGGTAGTATCGGCAAACGTCCTGTCCAGTACCTGCAGTGTAGAGGGGGATAACATGGTCGCCCTATAGAACCGCTGAGCAAACTGAAGCTGCGTCGTCCAGCTCTACAACTCACAGGCTTCACATCGGTGACACCCTCGCCAACGGATTCGACCTGTGCAGCAGAAGGCAATTAACATAATCATACCAGGGTTGAGAGGCAACAAAACTTACGATACCTCCACCTTCATGACCCAGGATGCAGGGGAATTTACCCTCGGAATCCTGCCCGCTCAAGGTGTACGCATCGCTAGACGACCGCTGAGATGACCGGACAAACTCCCCGCATATATGCACTCACGTGTGGCAGATACCGGTGTGGAGGATGTGAATGCGGACTTCGTGAGCTTTCGGTGGAGCTACTTCGACAGTCTCGAGCGTGACGGGCTTGCCAGGTTCCCAAGCGACGGCAGCGAGGCAAGTGATAGTCTAAACGATGTATTAAGACATAGTTGACATGCATGAGCAAGCCATCACCTTTCCGGTCGTATCAGACATGATTATATGAAATGGATAAGAGCAAAGTCGTGAGCTGCCAATGTACCCTCTGCTGGCTTCATGTAATGGGCGTCGGCCCTTATATAAACCGAGGATAATCCCTGGGCGTGGAGGTGGCGGTGCTGATCCGGAACTGAAATTCCTTGATCACCGAACCCTCGGTTCACTCCCTGTTCGCCAGCGTATGCACGTCTGTCCCTTTCCGCCATCTTTGATTATACAATACCCTTGCCTTCTTTCTAAAATTGCTTGGGAATCAACAGTCAGGATAGACAATGAACTTCCAGAACGTGTATTACCAGCGCGTGAGCGTTGTAATGTTATTCTTCCCAGGAATGGAGCGCTAATGACGTCGGCCCCGGTGCTCACGAATCCAGGCCGTCACTACTCCACGGCCATGCACCGTCTGCCTGCGCCCGACGACGGTGGTGCTATCCACGATGGGCAATGTCGACTTTGTCTATACGTGTGAACGACATCTGACCGACACGGGATTCGCTACCAAGCTCCCAGATGCGGGTGCTTCGCCTGCTCCTACGAGCCCGAAGCAGCCGGTGGATGACGAGCTTGTGAAGAAGGTGACGGAGGAGTGGGAGGAGAAGCAGCGCAAGAAGAAGGAGAAGGAGGAGAAAGAGAAGAAGGGGAAGGAAGGGAAGGATAAGGATAAAGCGGAGGATAAAGATAAGAAGGAGAAGAAGACGACGTCTAAGAGCCCACCACCGCCTTCGACGCCCTCAGCACCCGCGACGCCGATACACCACCGATATGCCCTACATCGGTCATTATTTGCCGCACGACAGTTAGAGCACAAGAAGCGACGACAAAATAAAGAGGCGAGAGAGGTTGCGCCACGGCTACCAGGTGTACCCGGCGGTAACCCGTTGTAATGGTTCAATCGCCGTAAGACGAGGACGATCGCTGCTTACATGAATGAGGAGGGCGGTAATGCTTTGTAATATTATCCGGAGGATCGCTTTCAGGGCGCAGGATGACAAATACCGGTCCAAACAGGGGAAAGTGATCTGATCGAGGAAAACAGCGAATGTCCATCAACACGTCTGCTGGATCCCATTGTACACTAAAAAAATGCAGAATCTCATATACAATATTTGTTTCAACCATCTATGACTTTGTCTTTTCGCCGTTGCGCTTTGCTCTCCGTTGAGTGTGGCCGTGAGAGTGACCATGAGAGTGGCCATGAGAGTGATCGTGGTGGTAGTGGGCAGCAAACTCCGCCTGTTTCACCTTGATCCCAGCTTTGACAGACTCGTGCAATCCTTTCCCATATCCGAGGGCAAAGAGGTTCTCGACATGGACAAAGAAAGGCGCCAGAACGACCGCTGCTCAGGAGTTTAGCATCATCGATCATAGGCAGGCAGACGCTGCGCACCTCCGATGAGATTGTCAACAAGCGCGGGTGAGCGGCCCTCGAACGCCCCGTGCCCGATAAACTGCGCTGTCCAGCTCGCGAGGTTAATCGCAGTGGCGATGGCAAGCGCGTGTGGGTAGTGAGAGAATGCGCATGCGGTAAGGTATATCAGAACCCATTGTGGTGTTATGAGCAACTGGCAGGAATTAGCGCATGCCCGTCATCATCGGATGCGATGCTCACAGCAGCGATGGGTTCCATAAAGTAGTAGTATATGAGGCAAGGGCCCCAGTATAACATCAGGAAGATCGTAGCATCGAATTGGAGGTAATCATTGATCTTGTACGTGAGGGATGGGGCGAAATTCGTCGTGAAGATGACGCCGGATGACCAGACGATAAGAGGGACGAAGATCCGGTGGATGCCGACGTTGACGGGGTGTGCGTGGTACGCACCGTAGAAGACTAACTGGGAGAGTGTCAATTGCTGGCAGTTGGAGGCTGGACGGTCAAAGTACCTGATCTCGGATGGAGAGGACGTTGCTGGGCCCGGGTCCGCACATGGCTGGTGTAGCTGGTGCTGCCATACTGTCAAGAGGACGTAGAGTTGAAGGAAAGAGGAGAGCGTACACACAAGAGCCTTATTGCTGGTTAGTGATTAGCTTGTTATATACGTCTATCCACCAGAAGATCAAAGAGTCATGGTGCGGAGCAAAAGTGCCGAACGTTCAGGGTACTATGATTACCGCTTTGTCTTGATCACGCGCAGGCTGCAAGAGATGTGGCGTTCTCCCACTGGACAATCGCAACGTTATGTAAGTAATGCCCAAAGAGTCTAAACCGCTGTTCCTCGAGAAAACCCTGCTAAAATAGCTGGCAGAATAACGTTATTTCACCCTTTTCTCAACATCCGTCCTCCGTGATTATTTGTGGGGCATCAACACCGGCGTCCACCTTGTCTGTCCGGTTATTACGAAGACCCTGATCATGAACGCGTGAGAACGTGCGACCTTCCCAAGCTTACGGTGGATGAATCCGCTGATCTGCGGGTCGCTAGATGTACAAATACGACCTTACAACACACGCCGTTATTGGCTCCATCCAGAATAACAACACAACCTGCTTGCTTTCCGCTGGGACGGCGGCTTCGGCCAGCCACCGGCCTGTGCTTTACTTGCGCCCGGCAGCATCTTCGGGCGCCGACGTCCCCAGATCCTCCGGAGCCGAACCAACCCCGGCCCACGTGCGGTGGCGCCCACGCGAGCCACCTCGTCAGCCCCTGCCCTGGAGCTTCAGCGTCCTGCGCAGCCAATCAATCTTTGGTGTGGCTCTATGGTACGATCAACTACGATAGCCCGGGCGTCGGATGCGCTCCCCCTAGCTGCGACGGTGGACGATGAGCAGGTGAGTAATGTGCCTTGGCCGTTGGAGTGTGAGTGTGCTGATGAAGGTGTTAGACAGAACATACGCTGCAGGAGTATAAGCAACAGGCTAAACTTATCTTTCGACGTATAACGCCCAATTCCGAACCACAATGTTCGATCGAGTCTGGTCCTTATGCACTGCAGTACGCTCCCATCCCACCCGCTTTGCCCCTCAGATGAGCAGCTAACGCGCGCACAGCTACCTCATCGCAGACAACGTTATCTACCTAACGATCGCTGAGAAGTCCTACCCCCGCAAACTCGCCTTTTCGTACCTCGACGAACTGGCCAAAGAGTTCTCCCACTCCTATGGTTTGAAAGTGGACGGCGTGCGCAAGCCCTACGCTTTCGTAGGGTTCGACACGTTCATGCAGAAGACGGCGAGGCTGTACCAGGATACGCGGAATGCGGGTGGGGGGAACAATTTGGAGAGACTGAATGGGGAACTGCAGGACGTGACGAGGATCATGACGAAAAATATGGAGGAGCTGCTTTGGAGAGGAGACAGTCTGGACAGTACGTCTCCTCTACCTCGTTGGGTCTCTTACGTGCGCGTGTGCTGATGAGGCACAGAGATGTCCCATCTCTCCTCGAGCCTCAGAGACGAATCCCAAAAATACCGCAAAGCGGCCCGGCAAATCAACATCGACGCTATGATACGCCAATGGGCACCCGTGGCGGCCATAACGGTCATCGTGATCATCTTTATCTGGTGGCGGTTTTTCTGAGCGTGGCATACATGAGCGATGAGCGATGTTGGTGGGTGGGCGCGGTGTGGATGCTGTAGATACCAGCGATGGATGGCATACGATGTACCTCATTTACCAGTTCTGCATTCTTCAACCTGCAACAGGCATATATGCATTCCATGCACTCTATGCACGCTAGAACACACTCCCCAGCAGAGTCTTCAACTGCTCGCCCCCCTCGTTCTCTCGCACAACCGGCTTCCTTTTCTCCCTCTTCTCCCTCTCCCTCCTCGGCTTCTCCACTCTCTGAACAGTGCTAGTCTCTTCCCCCAGCTCGGCCCGCTTCCGTTTACGCTCCGCGCGCTTGTCGAGCACTCGGGCGAGCTCGACCTGCTTAAGGTACTCCCGTTGCTCCATCCTGCTCTGGGACAGTTCCTGTCTTAACCGATCTCTATGCACTGCTCTCTCATGCACTACGCGCGTGTCAGCAGCAATCACCGTGACCGTGACCGTCACCCGGCAGGGAGTAGGACGCACCAATCTGCTCGGTCAACATCCCCCACTTGAACCTCGGCAAGTACTTCATAGTCCAAACATCATCCCTCCACCTCGAGCTTTTCTTGCCCCCCAAAGGCTGGGCATTCAACAGCTCCGCCACAGCCCGCGCTACCTTCTTGTCGGTGAACTCGACCCATCCTTCCGTATAATGCGCCTTCTTGGTCGACGTGTACTTTCGTCTCAAATACGCGCGTTTCGGGTCTGTCCCCACTTAGCAGCGTCAACATCAATGCAGGTAAAGGCTTACCTTCCTGCTGGAGGTAGACCCTTCCCACCTCACCATACCCGCTCAGGAGATGGCGGACCTTGGCAGGCTGCATCCCCGGGGGGATACGGGAGATGTACACTACCCCGGCGCGTTCTTGGGCTTGGTTAAACGCTTGGAGCGCTTCTGAGGAAAGGGCGTGCGGGGCGGAGGGGAAGGAAGGGAGGTGGCCGACTGTTCCTGGGAGGAGGGAGTCTTCAGGTTCGGAGAGTCGGGGAGAGCTGGGCCCTGCTGGTTCTGGTCCTTCGGGGACATCTTCTGGCGTGTGGGTAGGTATGACGCTGTGATATTGTGAATGAAGGCGTACCTTTGAATCCTGTCCATTCTTCTTCAACCGATGCCATCCTCGATTACTAGTGCTGTATAGAAAGAGGAACAAAACATTTTGGATGCGCGTGAAAAAGGGAGGCGGGATCAGATGCACGTGAATGTGAGGAGATGAGGGAGGATCGAGGTCTGTGATTGCTTGTTTTGGACTGACCCATCTGGAGGGAATTGCATCACCTTTTTATTCCTCTTTGCTTGCTCGGTGAATGAGATTGTGGAGTGAGCCGAGACTGTGACTGAGAGAGTGAGCAAGGGAAGGGTGGATTCATGTTCCCCATCTGGTGAGTGCATTTCCCTCTTGGATGTAGTATGCTTACCCTGTTCCAGACTGTGCACGTCACATTCCCCAGTGCGATGGGATACATCTCCTCTTTATATCCCAAAGTGGGGGAAGAGTACGGTGTGTATGAACCGGGCAGACCTGTGTGTCCAGCCTCCGCTCGCCTCACTGTACCGAGGTGTCCCATCCATCGGTCATATCATCTTCACCTCCCCTTCCGCCCCCCCACCCTCTTTAGGCACCTCTCTCTCTCTTTCTTATCTTCGTGCGGCTTCTACCCCCACCTGGCGCATCTCTCTCTCTCCCTCTTCACATCGTTCACTCCCTTTGCTCAGGAAAGCATTACGACTTGCATATATCGAACGTGCACTCATACGACGATTTCACTCACTAATCACACCCTTCAAACAGCATAATCTCTCGCAAAACACTAACTCTTTCCTAGCATCTTCTCACAGGGATTTGTACCAGCCAGAAACAAGCCTTTATTACACGAACACGCGTTCCCTGGTGGACACCTTTGCTTCTCTTCATTCGATCTCACCCCGGTTGTCACTGTCTCACACACACACAACCCGACTCAGATCGAACCTACTTTGCATATAAGAGCTCGACGCTCTCTCACTCCCTTCTTGCTTCTCTACCACCACCTCCCCCCCTCTCTCCTCCCTTGACGGGCACCTCCCTCACTCTCTCCCCCTTTCACGACCACTCCCATCTGCGCTCTCCCCGCCTTTCGACGTCTAGACGACAAGAAACTCTCGTTATTTCTCACCCAACTCGTACCGCGTACCTCTCCAAAGGCCGAGCCCTACCCCCCTAAACGCTAAAGTCATGCCCCTCATGATGCCCCGTCTTCATCCTGCCTCCCTCGTCCCCGCCTCAACCCACCACCCAGACCTGCTCGACCTCCTCCGTCGCCCCGTCACACGCGACATGATCGCCTACATCGCCGAGCAGGCAGTTGCCGTCATAGGCGTCGATGACGGCTCAGACACGGAGACGCCGGACCCCCTGCGCGCCGCTGCATCGGCGCTTCCCACCCCGCCCGCAACCCCGATAAAGGGCGCGTTTGACACGCAGAACCAGTACCAGCGAGAGGCACGAGAGGAGAAGGACGGCCTGCCCTCTCTCGAGGCATTCATCACCCGCCTGTGCGAGTACTCCAATGTACAGGCCCCTACCCTCCTCTGCACCTTGCTCTACCTTCATAGGCTCAAAGCCAAGCTTCCCGTCATGGCAAAAGGTGCGCATATATTTGCTCCACAATCCCGCACTGGTTGACACAGCACAGGCATACCGTGCACCCGTCATCGCGTCTTCCTCGCAACGCTCATCGTCGCTGCAAAGTACTTGAACGACTCGTCTCCCAAGAACAAGCACTGGACGCGCTACACCGAAACGCTCTTCTGCAACGCCGAAGTCAACCTCATGGAGAAGCAGCTCCTAATGCTTCTGAATTTTGAGCTCCGCTTCACCGAGGCAGAGCTCATCGAGCACTGCAAGCCGTTCATGCCTGGCTCCCCGCGCGTCAAGGAGCAGAGATCAGAGGCAGTCAGCCGCGTCGCCCGCGCTACGGCTGCTCGTTCTCCCGGTCGGAAGACGCAGCCTCAGATGCCCCCAACTCCGCCGCATGAGAACCCGAGCACGTCGACGTCCCTCCGCGCTCTTGCTGCCAGGCTATCCAACGCGCATATATCGACCGCGAACGTGTCCCAGATCCCTGCGCAGACACCTGATACGTTAACGTCGTCCGTCAGCAGCGAGCGCCGTCCACCGCTCTACACTTCCTCGACGTCGTCCTCTGCTGTGTCGCTCCTCACCACGGACACGCACTCGTCCGCATCGTCCGTCTCCCTGTCGCCTTCTGAGGTCGACCAGTATAGCACGGAGTGCTTCTTCCCCGATGTCACTTCCAAGCACGAAAGGAGCACCACAGCAAAGGGCAGGACGTTCATCTTGCGGTCCCTTCCTTCTGCACCTCTCAACGACTGCAAGGATAAGGATGTCATGACGAACGTCGACGACCGCAAGCGCACCGTGTCCGCGGCACTGACTATCGTGCCTTCGACCCCGCCTTCGCCTACCCCGGCAGCCAAGTACCGCAAGTCGGTGCGTCCCAGCACGGGGAAGAGCTACCCCGAGGGTCTCTCTGCTAGCGGCGCGAGCATGCCCAGCATCGCTTGCCATGCTCGCGAGAGCATGTCCACCCGTTGGTTGAGGATGCTCAGCTTGGGCAAGGCGAAGCAGACGGCTGAGGTGTCTGAGGCATGACCGACAACCAACACGTGCACGCGACATCGGCCGGCGAACTGAACAGCACGGCTTGTAAATATGCCATTTTTCTTGTACATAAACCCTTGGGAAACTTGCGAGTCTTGGTCACTTGGTGCAACTGCTCTCTCTCCTTTCTGCTCTCTCTTTATCATCCTGCTTTCTTTTGCACGATCTTCTTGCACATACTACGGTCGGATGCACTCCTTCCTTCCATCTCCCTCTCATCTCCATGCCCCGCACGCTAGACTCCCCTATTCCCTCACCACCCGCTGTACATAGTTCCCCCCGTCTTCCGCATCTCCCCCATCCATCCATCCATAATCACCGCGACCACCACGACTCGCTCTCGTCCGTTTCTCGACGCATGTACTTTACATCAAACTTGCCCCGTTTGCGTAAAAGGGGTCAATGCAATGTTATGAACAGTGTTCCGAACGTGTCCAGCGGCGTCTAGGCTGACTGCATGGGGGATCTCACTCGAAGGATGTTACAACAGCTGAGTCGAATTCTACGAGAACGAACAACACACTAGCAGGTTACAACACATTGACAAACGCTCGAACTACAACTCTCCTCAGAAAGTCCAACACACCATCCAATCCATACCCTCTCGACCCCTCATAACCCCCTCAAACAAAACTCACAATACCTTGACATACGAAGCCGGAAACAGACCTCTCCGGCCCTCCTTCTCCCCAGTCCACCAATCCGTGCTCGTCCGTTCTAGGAGGACCAGTCGCTCACCCGCGAGCAGGGAGAGGTCAGTAGCTGGGTCTCCTTGGTAGGCGTAGAGCGCTTCGACGAATTCTTGTTCTCCTGCTGCGGGTACTGGTACGGGTGGGGGTGGGGGGTGTTCGGCCTCCTCCTGCGGCGGCGGCGCCTCGGCCTGGTGGGGGACAGTCCTCTTCGGCGGAGGACCATACTTCGCCGCCAGGGCATGTTCTGCTCTCTCTCCCGGGACACTCGCAGGCTTCGCCGCAGGCGGAGGAGCAGGCTTAGGTTTCTTGTAGTTCCATACTCCTTGGGCTGTGCTGGTGAGAAAGGAAGAAGTGGAATCGGTGGAGAGGGAACCGAGGGATTTGTGTGTCTGGAGACCGGAGGGGGTGGGTGCGTGAGAGGGAGGGTTGGGAGCGGGCGGCGGTGGGGAGGTGGGGGTGGGGGAGGTAAGGGCGGAGGTGAGGGCGGAGGTGAACCGGGGGTTGGAGGCCTGTGGGGGTTAGCGGGTGGGAAGCGGGAAATGGGGGGAGGACGTACGAGTTGGACTGCGGCGGAGTCTATGCCTGCGTTTGCGGTTGTGGTTGCACCGGTCTTTGGTCCTTGACGGAGTGCGCTACTTACGAGTGCGGCTGTCGCTTGCGGATTGGAGGCGAGTGTACGGCCGACGAAGGATGCTGCTTTGCGTCCTGCCGCGGCTGGTTGGTCTGAGGATGGAGATGGGGAAGGGAGGAGATGTGGACGTTGGAGGAAGTATTCGTCTAGTACTGAGAAGAATGCCTTGGGGGTTGTTAGTATGTGTTCTGGGAGGAGGAGGAGGAGGAGGAGGAGGAGGAGGAGGAGGAGGAGGACGCACCTCTTTCTCCTCTGGTCTGAGGTCGGTGAATACCATCGTCATGTAGCGGTGTATAGGAAAGCACTAGTGAAGAGGTTGGTTCGAGAAGCGGCCCTTGGGAATCGTATCGGAATCGCACTTTGCAGCCACTCGGATTAATTCCACCCGGCGTTCTTTTATACACTACGACGTTTTGGTCACGTTCACAAAGGAAGACTTCGAGAGGAGTCCTTGATCATTTCACCCAGAGAATGTATATACACCAGTGCCCAGTCTACAAGCACCCCGTGAATTCTACTCTACATCCTCTCAGAATTAAATCAAGAGTCCGTTCACGCAGCCATCGCTCTACAGCTGCTTTTCCTCCATCGGCGTGCCTACGATCGGCGTCTGCCCGCCTTTGGGCGGTAGACCGCCTACGTCGGGTGTCCTCGCACCCGTAGGGAGCCGCTTGACCCTGCTCCACATACCGACGTTCTTGTCGAATATAAAGTTGAACGTGACCATCGGCCACGAGGGGTGCGAGGGGAGGGTATCATAATACTCCGGTGCGAGCGCTTTCAGAGCCGGAAGACGCGTCCACGCAACGGAGGGGAAGTCGTGGTGCTCGTTATGGTATCCGACCTGCATAGGATCAGTATTCTGCATGCCAGGATGGAAATAGGATGACAGACATTGTACGCCAGCACGTTGAGTGGCCCATAATAGCTATACGTCTCCTGGTTCAGCCCATCCCATACATAATGCTCCGCGATGAAGTGCCCAGCACAGGGATGCAGGCTGCCTGCGAAGAAGCTGCTCATGATCAGGTAGATGATCGCCTTTGGCCCTGCGGCGAGGTAGAGCAGGAAGTCAAAGGCGAGCTGGACGGCAAAGTTGAGGAAATGCCAGGGGGTGAGGGTTTGCGCGCGGATGAACCCGGGGCGGAGGGCGTAGAAGAGGATTTGGAAGGTGCTAGGAGGGGGTCAGCACGTCGACCAGGGAGAGGAGGGTGGGAGTACCAGAAGAACGCCTTGCCTGCGACGTTGTTCATGCAGAGCATCTCCAGCCGTGAGGGCAGGTCAGTGTCGATCCCGTCTTCTCCGAGGTATTTATGATGCTCGATATGGTATCTCTGCTTTTAATCAGCACTTGCCCATACCATGTAAGGAGAGTTTACCTTGAACATAACACTGTACGGGATCCCGATCGGCAGGTTGGCAAATATAGCTAACAACTTGTTCGCCTTGATCCCTTTGAACGCCAGGTTGTGCGTGATCTCATGGATCGCCAGGAAGAGATTGTGGTTCGCTGTTCCGCCGATGGCATATGCAGTGAGCAGGAATACGGGAGAGAATGGGTGGGTATGCCGCAACAAGTAGGCGGCCGCGAGCTGCAGAACAACCACGCCCAGTACGATCCACTTGGTGAGTGGTTCGTGTCCCATAAGTTTGGTCACCTAAAGCACTACATTCAGTACTTTCCCCCACACACAGCATACGAAAACCGCACCTCCGGATGATCCTTCAGGATCTGCTTCCTCCTGCTCCTATGCGGCTCCTCAGTCAACAACCACAAAAAGTCGCTCGGGTCCTCCTCTTTCCGCGCTATCATGCCCTCTGGGAACTCGCCAGCCTCGACAACGGTGCGCCTCGCACTTGGGGCATTGATTTTTGGTCCTCCGCTCGACTTTGACTTGGGTGCGAGAGGCCCGGCGGACTCGGCCCCTCCGTATAGTGAGAAGTCTGAAATGGATGGGGTCAGTGGAATGTTTGGGTTTAGACTGGGACAACATACCGATGCGCGGCTTGAGGCTGCTGCTGATCTCCGCGACAGCCATTGCAGGGAGGGGAGGGGAGGAGGAGGAGGAGGAGGAGGAAGGGAGGGACCACCTTGTTGATCAACTAGTTGCGCATGAACCTATTTCGTCTCAAGTTGGGGAAATTACTGTCAGGGATTGCTCCCGATATCATGTGTATATGCTTCACTTCTATTGAAATAATCTGATCCGAGGCATTACTCAATATAGCGGCAATATTGCCTTTTAGGGAATACTTGAAGGAGGTTACTACTGATGCTATGTTATTCTTTAGAACAAAGTACTCTAGTGTGAAGCATTTGAGGAAGGGCTACAGACATTTATAAGAAGTGTCCGGGAAAAGGATTAATACTTCGGGCTATCATTCGATGTACCAGTATCATCGGTCGACACTTCTCACCGAATCTCTTCATTTTCTTCCAATCTATAAACGGCTTTTCACCGCGGCGCTTCTAATCGGTTACTTGTATACCGGGTTCTCTGTTTCCTGTACCAATATCATCAATATTATCAATGCACAGCCTACCATTAATATTGTCACTCCATTAGATATTGCATGACGCCCATTATCTGTCGTTCTCTCAAATCCGGCGAGTCAGACTCTGACCGCAGTGCGCAGAGAACCAGATCTTCTTCTTGCAGGAAAAGGCGAGTTGTGCACCGCCCACCGCAGTCGCCGTCTTTGACTGCGGGAGCTGTCGAATGGTCCCTCGTCCGCCTTGTGTCCTGTTATATTACACTCTCTGTCATATCTAACAGTCTTGCTTTCATTTTGCACTATTGCTGTCCTCTATATCAGCGCTGAATTCTGCAACATATTTCTTCAATTGGATACTAGACAATAATAATGATCGTCACAGAGGAGAAGAAACTACCTTTGGCCCCAGACACACCGCTCGCTCCTCAGGGCGCCAACAATCCCTTCACGCCTGCTGCAGCTTCCTCCTCCGAAGCACCGCAAGATGGTGCTCCTCCTCCATACGAGCACTCCGAATCCGCCTTCACTGGCACGATCAGCACCGCTTCTTCCTCCGCTGCCCCAGGCTCCAGCACCGTCGCTCCCGGCACACCAGTCGCCGACCGGGACTCCAGGCTAGACATGCTCTCCGGGGACCCGGATGACTACTCTACCGGTCCATCCGTTCTCCCCCCACACCACGAAGATCCCATTCCCCCCGGTCTTCCCAAGCAGAACAAGCTACGCGTGCACAAGGATAACCACAGTATCAAGGACGTCTTCGTTATCGATGCCAACCTCCCCGCGCCGCCCGGGAGTCCTGAGAGAGCTCTCGACTTGTTCAGCAGCAATGGGAGTGTGTACGCCAAGGTGTATCTTATCGGCTATGATTTGAAACGGAGGGTGGAGCTTGCTGCCAAGAGCAAGAACGGGAGTGTCAAATTCTTAATCGTTCGTTCCTGATCTGTGTATCTCGTACAGAATGCTGTGCTGATCACGTACCATTCCAGGCCGAATGCCCACGTACGATGCCCATCTCGGTCAACTGCGAGTCGCACAACGGCTCCGTCACTGTCCTGCTCCCGCCCAAATTCACGGGCCCGCTCCAGATCTCGCACAAGAACGGGAGCGTCACACTCTTCCCTTCGCTCAAAGCGCGCACACGCACGCTCGACGAGAGCAGCACGACACGCCGCTGCTGGGTGGGCGAATGGCCCGGGGAGACCGAGTGGGACGGGGATGAGTGCATCGTTGGGAGCTTGAACGGTAGCGTGAGGATCGGATTCTGGGAAGGAGAGCCGTTGGAGAAGCCAGCTGGATTCTTTAAGCGCCTATTTGGATGAGGATTGCCACTGGTGATTCCACTATATGCCATAGTTTGTTCTTGTATTCTGTGCGATGAATGACTCCCTCTCAGGCGTCCCCACGACGACTGTTTATGATTGGTTTATGCCCCTACTTCATGATTAGAGCAAAGCTACAGGAAGGGAAACCAAAGGCCAAAAAGAAACCTGACAAGACCAAGAGCCCTTTCCCAAAGGGAAAGATGTCGTTAAGGATTGCGCCAGTAATCAACTTGACGAAGTCATGACGTAAGCATCTAGCCTCTCGGCTGTTTCCATATCAAAAAATGCGAACGCCGAATCGGCAGCGTTGGTCCAGTTGCTCTTTTCCATCCCGTCTCCTCCTCATCTCTCAGAATGCGCCTTCTCAGGCACACGAAAGTGTAAGCAGACGAATGATTGCCATAGCTAAGAAGTGAGAACAATTTTGGCAGCCTCGAACTGGGAACTGTACTATCTGATATCCGTAGATGAGCGAGCGGGTGGGTAGACCTGGAGCTTTCTGGGTTTTCAAGGGCAGAAACGAGATTAATTGGTTCCGCGTTCGACGTTACAGGGGCAGTCCGGGGTCATGAAGTGTACTACTACAATATAGTCGTGAAATGTAACTAGGCGGAGACTCCGCAAAAGGGAGAATATCCGAGCCTCACCCAGAGGCAGCGGAAGAGTGGGTATGTCAGAATATTCCCACCTCGTTCCAGCCGGCTTGTATATATCTTCAGATAATCTAAACACACTGAGACCCCTGGTTATCCAAGATATTCAATATCAAACCCACGATCATACCACGTGTCGCCGCCGCTTCTCCATGGGCGCTCCGGAAAAGTAAATGAAACACGTGACTTTGCACTGCACTCAGGCCCTCGGCGCCTGTCTGCGCATCGGTCATCTCACCGATTGACCACCGGGGAGACAGCAATATGAACATTATCCACGTCTCCTGTATTTTATCCACCATCTTGAACAACGAAAAGCAGGTTGACTTCACCTAAGAGCTATGACCATCACGTCAAATAATCGTGCAACGGAGGATGAATTCGTAGGCGCAGAACCTTGGAGCGAAGCCGATGCACTTCCTCCGCCCGCTTACGAGGATAGACCGTTTCGGAACGTCCCAGGCCAGGGATCATCGAGGGGACGAAGACGCAGGACGGGTTATCCACAGGAGAAACGGGATGGGACACCCGCTCCTCCGACTGATATGCCTGTTTATCTGCCGCAGTTAACAAGGACGCCATCTGCCTCTAGCACGAATTCAAACCTTACTGTCCAGGACCTGCCGATCACCCCGCCCCGATCCAACCGGGAAGTGGCAGCGCCGTCTGTATCAGGCGCTACTTCCAGCTCTCCATCTCAAATGCGGCAGTCTTCCATACCCTGGGATTCGTCTCGATCACGCGCTTCATCCATCTCGAGCACGACTTCGAGCACGTCAGTTCAAGCCTGCCCATCAGCTACGCCATACTCACCTTCTGGGATGCGTGTGCAATCTGCCTCGGTCACTAAGAGCTCGGCAGTCCCCGTACATGATGGACGGAAATCGGCTATTCTATCGACCGCCAATCTGGGGAGACCGTCGTCCTTGTCAAGTACAGCAAACCCCATCATCCGTGATGTCGCTCCATCCTATCCTGCCCCGATGAGGGGTTCAATGTACATCACTAACCCGGATACATTCGACGCATCAACTCCAAGCTCAGCGCACACGACGATCCCTCCTGTACCCCATGCGAACACCTCCGTGCCATCTACCCCGTTGTCAGAGCCCGAACTTTCGCAGCCGACACCTCCGACAATCACGTATCCGGCCGACTTCCCCTCTCACCTCGCACGACAGAACGGCGTTCGCATCCGGCGCGCTGGCGACGTGCGCGAAACGTTCCTCATCGATTCGGCGTTGCCCGCCCTTGAAGGTGGGGCGGACAAGGCGTTGGATATAGAGACAGGGAGTGCGGTGGATGCGCGGGTCTATGTGATCGGGACGGGGGCAGCGCCATCCACCTCAGAAAAGGCCACTGAAATGGCGTTCAAAGCGGCAAGTATCAAGATGACTGTCGTTAGTCCAGTTCCATTGGAATATCAAGAGAGATACCTGATATTGGTCCAGGTACAAGCAATAGGAAACCCACTCCTGAAACTTCAATTCCAGCCAGAGAAGCCACGCACACGAGCAAAAGATCCACTAGAAGTGCACCTCTGTACCGGCGTTCGAGTTTCTCTCGAAGCATTCTGGCCGGGAGACTGTATCATCCGTCTTCCTCCTACATTCACCGGCAAAGTTGACCTACGCTTTGGCAAGCGTGGTACGGTAGACATCGACAAGAACCTTGCGCTCCGCACGAGGATCTTGAATGAGGAGCAGGGTGTGATGTTGTTCTGGATTGGGGACTACGAGACGGGCAAGGGTGAGTGGGAGTTTGACAAGTGCTTCATTCGCGCCGAGGGAAGGATCTCCATTGGCGTATGGGAAGCAGATTCGGAGAACAAGACCAAGACACCCCCTGCCTGGGACACAGCCAGCATCGCTTCGAGCAAGAGAGGACAGGCACTGGACAGAATCAAGGGTGTTGCGAGCCGGATTCCCAGTGTGAATTTGTACAAGAAGCTGAAAGGGAATACTGAGAAACCATATTTGGCAACCCTTGATTAGCGCATTTTCTTTTATCCTCTCGTTTATTCTTATTGTAAAGATGTGATCTATGTAAATTCTTTCGTGGATAAAAGATCAGTGTATATTCTGGTAATGAATGAATGGTGTGATGATGGATAGACGCCCGTTCGCAAGGATACAACAGAAACAAACGGAAGAACCACGGATCAGCCTCCCAGGTTACACTCTCCATCTCTTGCTGATACTCTTACCTGCGGACTCGACGGACTGGTTGTAATATCCCCTTCTTTCTCCTCCTCAATCAATCAAGCTGGACATGATTATCACTTCCGATAATCCTGAAGCAGCAGACGACCCCAAACACCGTCCAGGTCCCAGTGGTCGCTCTACTTCACAGTCTGCCGTGGAAGATGAGGCGCAACCTCCGCCATACAGCTACTCACCGCGGGCTGATCCCAGAGTCGATCTTCTCGAAGGGGAGGGGGAGGAAGACACCATACTGATTCCCGCGCCATCCCGCCCGCTGCCATCGCCTTTTCCTGCAGTATCCCAGGCAGTGCCTGTCATATCGAACATCCCCCCAAACCTGCCGCGGCAAAACCGCCTGCGTATCTATCGCGATAACTCTGGCATTCGTGACACCTTCGTAATCGATCCCACTCTGCCTGCGCCTCCAGGAAGCCATGACAAGGCGCTCAGCGTGTATTCGCAGAACGGGAGCATCGAAGTAACTGTCTAACTCAGAGCCCTGGCAAGGTCACAAAGGGGATGGTTGAGCTTGAGGGTTTGAGCATGAATGGTAGCATCAACTTCCGGGTGGTACGTTCTTTCACTTTTTGTATATTATCTCCAGTCTTCTAATTATTGGATGTGTGTGTGCTGTTTGTCCCAGGCCGAATGCCCAGCGGACATGCGTATCTCCATCCACGTCGAGTCACGTAACGGCAGTGTTGCCCTCTTCCTCCCAGCAACCTTCCGTGGACCGCTCACAATCGGACACGAGAACGGCAACGCATGGTTGACACCCCCGCTGCGGACCCGTACGCGTACGCTGGACGAGACCGCAGGTCAGCATCGGTGCTGGGTTGGCGAATGGGGGGAAGACGACGACCCGAATTGGGTTGCGGACGAGTGCACGGTGGAGAGTCATAATGGGAGCGTTAAAGTTGGATATTGGTCGGCTGAGGCGGCGGATATGAAGCAACAGGTGCCTAAGGGGGCCATGGAGAAGGCGTTTGGGCAGAAGAAATGAGTTGATTTGGAATGCAACTGAGAGTGTACATCTTTTGGATCTGTATGTACTATATTTCTTACTGGTTTGGAATCTTCTTCGGTTGTTGTTGTTCACTTTGACTATTATCTATGTGAAACACACAGAAAGGAGGGGATGTGGTTGTAACAGTACAGTTTATGAATCAAATTCAGAGTTGAAAGCGAAATACAACAAAATACATAGTGATCAAAAGAATCAAGGCCCAAAGAGAGACGAGTTCACCCAAATAGCTTCTTCATGAGCCCAGTGACAAACGTCTCGACCTTGCCAATGCCCTCCCAGTACAGCACCCTCGCCGGCCCACTAAGAGTCCTAACCTCTGCCTCATCTCCCATCCACTCTCCTCGCTCGAAGGTCCGCCAGTCTTCCGCTAGATCCGAGCAGTCGCCCACCCAGTACTTGCGCACGTCGCTGCTCTCTTCAAGGATCCTTAGTCGGCTGCGGAGGGAGGTGCCGAGTGACACGGGGCCAGTGCGGGTGTGGATCGTGAGGGGACCGGAGAAGTGAAGAGGGAGGAAGAGCTCGCAGGGACCAGATTTAGTCCCCACGTCTACGGCGAGCTTTGCATTGCGTGGCATGCGCGCCTGTGCCACCCGAGAAAACGAAGTCAGCAAATGGTGATCGACACATGACCGACGAAATCACCCACCACTGCAAGTTTGACCGGTCCACTCTCGCTCTGCGCACTCATCTCCACTCGTCCTTTGAGATCCCGACAATCAAGGACGTAGACGCGCGCGAGGACAGGTGCGCTCGTGCTGCTCAGCTCCAAGTTCTTCTGCGCTGTCCCAGGCGGCGAGGGGAGGGAGGGGTCGATAACGAGTGTTTCGCTGATCGGCTGGTAGGCACGGTGGATCCGCAGACGGTTTTGGTGAGGAAGGTCTGGGATCTCCTCTTGTGGAGGAACGGATGGACCAGAGGAGTAAGGGATTGGGTCACCAGAGAGAATGTCCACCGTTGGGTCGTGTGGAACGACTAGAGGTTCTTCAGGATCAGGGTAACCAGCTTCAGAGTTGGTCGTTGTCGTTGTGCCGCTCATGATGGTTGATGAAGCGGGGTCAGAGGGCGTATAAGGCGGAGGATCAGCCCAGTTGCTCGATGCTACGGTACTGTCCCCTGCAGTCGAGGCAGCACTCGTACTCGGTCCGCTTGAGCTTGAGTACCCTTCAGTGGGCAGTTCAGGCAATGGGCGCTTCTTATCGTCGTCGACGATTATCATCTCGTCAGGTTATATAGCAGTGAAAGTGAATCTCAGGATTGCTGTTGTAGTAGGCTTTGATGACTAGGACGCTGCCAGTGTCAGCTATGTAATATAGACCGAATGTCCCAAGTACGAGGTGGTCAGGAGCAAGTTGTGAGTCGCGCCGCAGTAGACAGTGGCCAAGAGCAAAGTCGTCAGCCTCCTCCCCCTCCTGATTGGACTGTCGGTCGCACTCGGGAAGTCACTCGCGGCCCTGCGGCATCCTGATCTGCTGTGCGCACAGTCCGCCGCAACATCTCCGCACAGTTCGGAATTCCGATATCGCTCACTATTCATACATTGAATATGTTCTCTATGACAGAGGGTATTACAGTAATAGCTATCTGGTACATCTATTGCTACTAGTATCTCCACTCAATGGGCGTGGTCTAGTTGTGATAAGGCTTCTTCGTCCTGAGGTCAATACTATTGTCGTCTTTCGACCATTCCGAGACCGACACGACCGACACGAACTCAGCCGCATGGAAGTCAGAGACTGCCAGCACGATAGGCTCGCTATTACCGGGATGCGCTGGCTGCGACAGTGTGTTGTACAATGTTTTCATATTTTTGAACGCCGCATTCGGTAGGACTCCGTATTTGAGTGCGTTCTTTCTCAGTATATGCCTGAGGAGAGGGTCGTGGTCGGCGAGCACCTCGAGAGAGGCGGCGACTCCGCTCGGGGGGCGTTTGGTTCTTGGATCGATGGGGATGGCTTTGTGCTGGTTTGCCACCAGGACGATCATCTCTGTTTGTGAGTGTCAGCTTCGTCAAATCTGTCTCGCAATGTATCAACTTACCGATTGCACTCCTGATATTGAAATCCTTTTCCAATTTCAGTTAACTGCAATCCCTTTCCTGTGCATTTCATCCCTGTCTTGGAGCAAACGCAAAAGTGTCGGCACTTCTCCCGGAACGACAGCCGCAGTGTGTAGATGCTGCTATGCCATTCCGACCCTATGGAGGAGGGAACCATGAATGCGAGCGGACCTACCGCACGAGGTTAGCTTTGCTGCTGGAACACTTTTAAAGAGTCATGCGATTAAGAAGGCACATGATTGGGCATGTGAAATGAGAGGGGGGAATAGACAAACTGTGAATGCGCATTGAGGGATGCCCCTCACTTCGTCGTTTGAAGTGTGCTCCCCGAACCTCCACACCCTCGGCTCCGAAGGGATTGAGCGGACGCGAGAGACGCCCGGCCTTTTTTGGTTGTTACAGTTTCGGCAATTCTCTTTCTTTGTATGAGCAAGAGATAGCTTAGTCTCTTCGAGATCTTTGCTCAAGAATCCGGGCATCAATTGTACTTCGCCATCTGACGACCCCCTTCTCCGCGCGACCTGGCTTCTAACAGGAGAATAACGACTCATTGAAGAATGCTATGCGGTTCTATTCTATCTTGTTCAATCTCTTAGGTGACGGTCATACAGAGCCTTCAGCATGGCGACAGCCTCCTCACGCCTACATCCAAATATGGCTGAAATTTGGTTGACATATTCGTGCAAGAGAGGGTCGTAGTCAGCGAGGACGCTGAGACATTCGGAGACACCGGTCGGGATGCGGCCAGTTGCCGGATCGACGGGAATAGCGCCCTCCTGTTGAGCTTTATATTCGATGCGTTCTATTCCCTACTGTGAACTCGCCTCCAACTTGATGATGTAACGACTTACCCAGGTAAATTTTAAGGGCGCACATTGCCGCAGTTTCATTATCCCACGCCACACTGCGTGCACTACGTTTCTGCCGAGCTACGCCAACCTTGTGCAGGAGGAGGGGACGATGAACACGGGTGAATCTGCAGGACGCGCATCAGTCCTCTGAGCTGTCATCACGTCTTCTCTGCTCACATTTTTGCGCCAGTGAGAAAGAACATTCTTGGGTATGTCAAACAGGAGGTTGGGATGGAAAGATAGAAGGGGATTCTCGTCTATCCTCTGACATTTGTAGGATGGGACGCTGTTCGCTCTATTTCGTTTGACTTGTTCGGTGATTTTCTATTCCTGACCTCATACCGACCTTTTATTTCCTTTTCTATCCTGGTGTTATAATGATGCGATTGGCGAGGTCGTCATGATGCAAAGTCATTCACCTTACAGAATACAACAACACGCTACCAAAAAGGGCAGAAAAAAAGGTAGTGACATCACCTTCCCCATGAACGTGCTATGTCGTCCATATCTTCTATCCCTGTTGGATGTCGAATACCAATACATGTAGAATGCCCTCAACCCCTGACAGCAGCCTCAAATAACAGCGCCCGACGCTTCGGCAATACCGGTGCAGGTGTAACAAGTGCAGGCATGCTCGTCCCGCAATTGTTCGCCGGGTTACCCATGATGATGCTCTCGCTCACACCCAGGATGGCGTCGCTCTTTCCGTACGCAGCGGCATCGAACAGGTGATCAGTCGTCTTCTCGAACGAAGCGAGCATCAGTACACTGTCTTTCATCTTGGCTACCCCGAATCGCGTGATGCCGAGAACTTCACCCTGCGAGAAAAGTATGTCAGCAGCATTTTGGCGACACGTGCTGTACATACCTTGTAGGTCATCACATCCCCAAGAAGCATCACGTGCCTGGGATCGATATTCATCCCGTGGTTCTCCATGGTATACTGAATCTCGTGTATGATCGTGCTCCTGGCAGCCTCAATGCCCAACACCTTCCCCACCTCGATCACATGGTTTCCCGTCGTCTCCTCACCCACCACACCCTCTGTCGTCATCACCTCTAACAGGCCGTATCCTTCTACAAGCAGCTCGTTCTCTCCCGGCTTCCCGCGGGGCGATTTGTCCTTCTCAATCTTGTTGATCACCGCACGCTGGATCTGAGATGAACCCTTGACCACGATATCGGCCAATACGCGCTTGGTTGCCCGGAGTTCGTAGTACTTGAACTCTCCACTGTCGAAGAAGATTTTGAGTCTGTTCTTCCGAGAGTCGACCGTTATATTCTGTTTGAACGTCAGCACTCAGCAGTACGATAATGCACAAAGCACGACGCGTACCCCATCCTTGACCTTGACCTTACTTGAGTTCACAATTGCACGCTTGACGTCCTCGATCGTAAGCTCAAGCTGAAGCTTGCGTATCGCATCCATGTCGAGGTGTACCCCGATATAGGTATACTCGCCCGCCCATGCTTCCTCAATCACGCTTGCCACGTCTCCAAGATACGTCTTCTCCAGCCGTCCTTTGACGATCCTCGCGGCGGTCTCGTTTTTTCGCTCCACAAGCTTCGCACTGATAATGGGAGTACTGATTACTTTGGCAGCATTAATGATCTCCTTGATCCGGGGTACTCCGAGAGTGACGTTCATGCTCGCCACACCGGCGAAATGGAACGTCTTGAGCGTCATCTGCGTTCCGGGCTCACCGATCGACTGTGCACCCACGGCGCCAACAGTGCTCCCAGGCTCGATCTTGCTCTTGACGTACTTCGCCCAACACGTGTTGAGGAAACTCTCCACATGTGCAGAAGTGATCTTGATCCTATTCTCGAGCGCCTGTTGTTCCTTCTCGCCCGCCCCGAGCGAGAGGTCCGTGTCCGCGTCCCAGTCATCGTCCCGGTCAACAGCATCGTACATCTTATATTCCTGCCTCACATTTCCGAGATGGCGTGCGATGGCTTGGATGTAGGCGCGCAAGCTATCGAGATATTGCGTCGAGCACTCCGTCTTGAATTTACGCCTCTGGAGGATCTCGTTCGTCAAATCCATGATCTCGAATGGGAGGAGTGCCCGTCCGTCGCGTGCGGTGATCGCTCCCGCGTGCATCCAAGCTCGATCAAAGTCTACAGGCTGGGCCTGGCCCTCCAGGCACCCTGGGTCCAGCCCATCGTCCCCAAAGCGGAACTGCACGATCCCTCCACTGGACGTGCGCACAGAGGTGTCGTAGTGAGTCACTAGATCTTCTAGTGCTTTCATCAGTCGCCGCTGCATGTAGCCTGTTTCGGCCGTCTTGACAGCCGTATCAACTAGACCCTCACGGCCGGAAATGGCGTGAAAAAGAAATTCAGTGGGCCGCAGACCAGTGTAGAATGAGTTGCTGACGAAGCCTTTTGAAGGGGGCTCGCGTGACTTTTTTGGGAAGTGAGGAAGCGAGCGTTCCTGAAACCCGTCGGGCACACGCTTACCCCCGATAATCTGCTGTCCGACACAGGCAATCATCTGCGAGACATTGAGCACGGAGCCTTTCGAGCCGCATATGGACATGAGACGGGGAGCGTTGTGTATGCTGAGTTCTTTCATACAAATGTCACCCACGCTCTCTCGGACCTTGGACAGAATGCTGGAGATGGATGCTTCTAGTGTCTGGTCTTGATCACAGCCGGGTTTATTGGCCAGTTTGCCCAGCTTTGCTTGCTGTATAAGCTCAGTGCAATCATCGTACGCCTTGACGACCATCTTTTCTTTGCGAGCACGTAGCTCGGCTCCGGGCGTGACATCGCTGATTCCTAGCGAGAAGCCAAAGTTGGACAACCATCTTCCGCAAAGCTTCGCAAGCCTGTTCATCCCCGCAGCTGCCGCATCCGGCCCAAAATCGCGCAGCATAGCTCCGAAAACGGATTTCTTTTTGCCACTCCCCACCGTGGCCTTATCCATGACACCGCACATGATTTCGCTGTTGACGATGACAAGCCATCCGTCGTTCGGAGAGAGGTCCATAGGAAGAGGCTGGCAAAAGTCGGCATAAGGGTCATCTTTCATCTTGCCCGTTTTCTCGGCTTCTTCTGCCTGTCGCTCAAGCTCGGCGAAAGAGAACTGTGGGTCCCCAGAACGGCCGGGTTTCAAAGTACGCAGAGATAAAGGGTAATAACGTGCCGTTGGCTTCTCTCCTCGGTTGCAAGGACTTTCCACATTGACCAGAACGCGGCTCTTGCTGTTGGGTCGCATGAGAACATTGAAAATTTGCTTTCCCGTCCACAAACATTCTGGTCTCCATATTGTCGGTGGCGGCAGGTCAATATCTTCCAGCGCATCTGCCATGTATGTGCAGATTTGAGTGAAGGCGCGTCGATCATAGAAGGTATCTCGATTGGATAGAAGATAGGCGGCGGTAACGAAATCTTGGGTAGCGGCAATGACGGGTTCTCCATTACGTGGTGTCACGAGATTTTTCTTCACGCTCATCAGCTCTAGCGCTTCTGTTCGCGCTTCTTCCGTTTGAGGTACATCTATAGGTCATCAGCCTCAAAATCCTTAGGAACGAAGACAGGACGTACGAATATTCATCTCGTCGCCGTCGAAATCAGCACCGTATGGTCCACAGACACATTCATTCAGACGGAATGTCCGCCATGGCCGTACCTTGACCCGATGACACATGATCGAGAGCTTGTGCAAACTCGGTTGTCGATTGAAAAGAATGACATCGCCGTCAATCAGATGTCGTTCGACAACGTCTCCAACTTGTAGCCTGTCGGCCACCTCAAATCGGTTTGCGTACATCAAGAATCGCTTGATCCCTCCACCCAATCCGAATGAACCAGGAGCGCCACTCTGGACGAAGTTCGCTCCGGGCCACTCGAGAGGACCGTTCCGCACTGCCTGCCGTAGTGATTCGATGTTGTACTCATTTACACGAGCAGGATATGTCAATTTGACTGCCACTCGTTTGGGGATAGCGACCTCATCAATACGAAGGTTAGGATCCGGACTGATAACGGTTCGCCCTGAGAAGTCGACACGTTTTCCGGACAGATTACCTCGAAAACGACCTTGCTTGCCCTTGAGACGTTGGCAGAAACCTCGGATAGGTTTCTGCACATATGCCGGGGAGAGGTTGGGCTGCTCAGAGTTGATGTACAATGCCACACCAGCTTGCAGGAAGTCCCAGTTCTCCATGATGTTCGACGTCGCGTTGCCTTTGCGCAGCCCTTCCCGGATGAGGGCATTGCAGAAGACAATTTCCGTCAACTTCACAGTAAGATCGTCTTCGTTGCTGGCCCCGTCCTGTTGTACGGACGGCCGAATCGCCACAGGAGGGACAGAGATGTAATGCCAAATGAATTGTTCTGGACGGCCATGTTCAGGATGCATGCCAAGCAACTCGCAGTCCTGACGGTAAGTTAGAATAAACAAGTGAAGTGATGAACGATAGGCGCACTTCGTCTGTTATGTTCTCGAATAACGTCAGCACTCGTAAGGGGTGCATGTCCTCGACAGCTTTGGCTATATGCGGTGCCAGGTCCTTCTGATATTCGATAGCTTTATTGAACCCCTCCCTCCACTTCAGGCGCTCATCCTCCGTCTTCTTCGAGCGAAATTTCTCATGGACAATCTTGATGTCCTTCTTTGCTTTCTTGACAATGCCGTTCGTGCTCATGCAATAAGGACAGTAGGTAACCTTCCGGCATTGGGTATTGACGGCTTTGAAGGTCGCTTGTCGCTGAAGGTTCTCAAGTCCAGGACGACGGAAACGGCGGAGAAACTTGCGTCGGTCGGCTTCTTCTAGCATAACGCGAGAGCAAGTCTGACAAGATGTGAGCTAAGCAAACACGCGTAGCAGACAGATCACGCACCTTGCAAATACATTGAAGAATAGAGATGACATGCTTGAAGTATCCGACGTGAAATACCGGGAGAGTGAGCTTGATATACGCATAATGTCCGACGCAGGTCTGTGCCGTCTGTCCACAAGTCTCACAAACCGAGGTCTTGTCGATCACACCCTGCACTAGCCTCAGCAGCTGAACATACTTTCATATACTGTCCACTCACTAATCTTCTGTCTAGGACTCCATTAGGTGCCGGGTCTCGTGTCCCTCGGGTATACAAGTCATGGTGTGGGATCTCGAACTCTGAAATCTTGACCACATCCTGTGGCTTGAGTAGACTGAACTGGATATGCTTGCTATCCAAGGGTCAATATACGTTTCATCTTGCTATGAATGGCTGCTTACATGACCTTGTTACTGGTGTCCTGCACCGACACCTTCATTGTCGCGATCAGCCTACAAATCCCACTCAAGCGCCCAACGATATAAGGGTTGGTGAAAGTCGGCGTGACTTGGGCCGACGGTGAGAGGTTGTTAGTGGCTGTGAAACGTGAAAAGAAGCATGCGGAGGCAATCAGGGAGAAGCTGGAGACTGACGCGTCTCCGTGCTGAATTCGTACGCGGCCCTGCCCTTGAGCGCAACTTCCATCTCGTTCACAATGTCCAGGACTTCATACGACAGGTATGCATACAAGAGGTGCAAGGGGAGTAAGAGGATTATCTGACATTGTTATTTTCTAGATATCTTACCGTTTTCTCGCCAGAAGGGCGTCTATACCAAGTCGGTGAGCTGCTTTCCTACCAACTGTCGCGCATATATCTCTGACGAGCACGACAGAGTACGCATTCAAGGCTATCTCTGGATCTGGGCACACTGCAATCGCAATCCGAGGCAAGGATACTGCTGTTGTGATTACACAGAAGAAGGTGGCGGTGCGTGTGGTAGAGGTACCTGCATTGCAACTGTGTTGATGGTGTCGCAGGACAAGCTCATCGATGCCGGTACCATCACCCATCTGTTCAGCATAACACCATCTATTGGTTGTGTCGTCACCGGTCTAATTGGTATGTCCGAGCTGTTATGTTCGCCACACACAGACTTAGACTCGATCCAGCCGATGCACGCTCACAAGTAACGAGGGCGAGGTCTGAAGCAGCCGATTTCCGGTACAAGAACGGCTATGAGATCACCCCCGATGCTCTGGCCCGACGTATCGCCAACATCAACCAAGTCTACACCCAACGCGCGGCGATGCGACCGTTAGGCATCGGTGCGTTCTACACTGAACACGCGCTTGTTGTGCTCATCCCTCACTAGCGATGATCCTTATTGGCATCGACCCTGAATTTGGCCCACAGTGCTTTAAGCTGGACCCTGCAGGATACTTTGTCGGCTTCCATGCTACTTCTGCAGGGCAGAAACAGCAAGAGGCGATGAACTTCCTTGAGAAGCGGTGGAAGAAGCTAGAGGGCGAGCCTGATGTTGCAGGGTTGACGCTTGGACGGACAGAGGTGATCGAGGTACAAAGCAGTACTTGCAATTTGACCATATACTGACATTTGTGGTAGATGGCAATCGAGGCGATTTCCCAAGTGCTTGCGACGGACTTCAAGCCAGGGGAGATCGAGATCGGTATCGTCTCGACCGCCGAGACTGCCGAGGGGAAGGAGGGCAGTGGTGCGGCGATGTGGAGAGTGATGGACGATGCGGAGAAAGACCATTGGTTGACCAAGGTAGGTGAAAAGGATTGATCGACACCTATAGCATTAGGCAGGGCACATACATACGTTGTCCGGTTCTTCCCGGTTTCAGCCAGAATATTTAGACCCGTAAGAACTGGGGTAAGAACTTGTCCAGCGAATAGCTCCCGCACTCTTACCCCACCTTACTCCTCTTTCCATCCTCCTTCCCTGCTATATTCAGCACTCTCTTCACCAGAACCGCCAGGGATGCACGCAGGAATCCGTCTTCTAGCCAGGAGTCATCCTTACAAACCGATGATCCATTTCCTAGGCAAGAACCGGATTCCGCGAGGTAAGCGTCTCACCACACGTCCACACGTACGAACTCACTGAACGTACGTATTCGATGCGTCGCAGAACCCCATGGACCGAGACCGCATCCGATGGCTCCTCCGGATATAAAAGCCCATTTTTCAGAGTTCTTGAACAAGATCCAGGCGAGCAGGTCGTTTGTCGCAGTGCGCTTCCTTCCTCCTTTCGTCCTTCCTTTCATACCTAACTCACTCACTCACTACTCAGCAGGCCTCAAAAGAAGAAGAAACAGCAAAAGTATACGCCAACTTCTGGGAAGCACCTGATCGGTATCGGAAAGGGACTGTATTAGACGAAGCGGAAATAGAGGCTATCGACGTGCGTCCCCCTTCCCTATCTTTCCTATCCTACGCTGCATGGGTGCTCTGGTGCTGGTGCTGATGCTGATGCTGATGCTGTGACAGAGCGGGGGAGCTTCGAAGTGGTAGAATGGACAACTTGAGCTTGGAATGTACAACGTGCAATTTTATCTTATCGAATCTTGAATCCTGAAAGTTGGCTCGCTGGCTAGCTGGGTCAGGAAGCGCCCAGAAAGGGCTAGTGTGCTTGAATGGTCTGGATTGGTGTCTCGTGCGTGTTTTGAAAGAGAGGGGTTGCAGGTTCTGCTGTGTGGTGAATGCGGATGGTGGGACTAGATCGCCCGGTCTGGGTATCCGCTTGCAACGGGTTGCAAGTTCGGAAACGATCATAGACTGGGAGAAAGGTGTCTATTCCCGGAATAATTGCATAAAATACAGTGCGCGCCCCAAGCAGAGAAAAGGCACACCAACCCCCAACCTCCAACCTCCCCACTCTAGATCTGCTACCCGACCGCTAACGGCTCATAACAAGTCATAGTCGTCCAGCTCGTCATTATATTTCATGATCGTGCGCTTCACCTTCGACGTGGTTACCCAGGTGACAAAGTCCTCGTTTTGTCTGCGTGTTGTCAGTGAACTCTCATACAAAGGAAGGGGAAGGGAAGGACGCACCGAGTGACCATATACGCCGGGTCGGTGATCGTTTCCGGTCCTACGCGGACATGGCCTTGCTCGATGTACTTGGCCGCCTGGGCTCGTCAGCACTTACTCACAGCGCCGCGCAGACCAAGAAAATACGCACAGTCTTGACCGTCTCCGCCATCTTGAGTCTGCAGCAGACGACCGCCAACCTGCGTCTGCAGAACGCCGCTACAGTCAGTGCGTTCTCCACGTCGCTCATCTTCGCTTTCTGGTTCAGGACGCCCATGTCATACAGCTTGCTGAGGATCTGGCCTTCCATACGGGTGCGAAAGTGGTCTTGGGCAGGGAGAAGGGAGAGCCTGTGCGCGAGCGAACGGAGTGACCCGCAGAGCTTGTTGTACGAATGGTAGTCTTCTCGCGCTTGGATGTGGTATCGCCGGAGAACGGCGAGCTCGTGTGACCTGGCGTCGGATTTCCACTGCGGGGAGGGGTTAGAGGGGTTAATGGGAGGGAGGAGAGGGCGTACGTTGAGGAAATCGACTTTTTTTAAAAGCTTCTTTTCGTGGTATTTTAGTTCTCTCATTGTATGTAGGAGGTTAAGGATTGCGCGGAAAAGTGACTAGAGTCACTGTGACTGCGGAGGCTTATTCGGAGGTCACGGGACACGTCACCGTGTTTTGAAGCGGATAGGGTTACTGGTACTATCGAAGACTGACACTGCTGTGAACATGGATAATGCCCTCAATTATGGCTTTCCCAAATGCGTCCTCGAACGACGGGGAGGATATTTGCGAGGATGGTGAGGACAACGCTGGCTTCATCGAGTGGAAGTGGCATCCGCTCCTCGCGTGTATCCAACGCCCCATCAGTGCGATACGCTCCATTGGAGACGATGCCGTGATATGTACAACAAGCAACGCTCTCTTCAGCGTTCACCATGGCCCTGGAAATCCTGCCTGGACTATTATGCGCAGTTGGGGTATGGAGAACGCGCATAAGGTCGTATTTTCTGGCGAATCCATGGCCACCACAGATTGCCCTCTTTCATGGCTCAATTGCAATTCTGTACCCGTTCGCCATCACAGCGTCATGGAACCGCTCTCCGTTCCCTCAGAATGCATCGTCAACGCGCTGAAGGTTGGACCGACTCGGAGTGGCGCGGACGCGTTTGCTACATTGGCTTCTGATGATGTCGTCGCCACGAATTCGGTGTGGAATATCCACCTTACGCCCCAACTCGGCATCTATGCTTCGCGCGTGCAGGATGATTGTAGGCTCCAGCTGCGCTCCATTGCTCTGGTAAGCCGCCTTTCATGGGCACTGGGGGAATTACTAGCTAATGCCCATCGCTCGGGAATGTAGAAGATGTTCTCGAAAGTGGATTTCTGGTTCTTGGAGGAGAATTTTGTGATCGTCAACTACAATTGCGCGTCCATCGACGTTTATCCCAACTTCGATACCGTGCTTACCTCCGGTCAAGCAGAGTCCGATTTGTTACCAGGCAGGATTATGTTCGACGAACCATTTTTCGAGGCCAAGCGCGTCCTGACAACTTGAGGTCTAGTAGTGGCGCTCCGATTTGAAGACTGGATCTCTCTGTATGATGTTGCTATCATCCATGGCAGGTTGTCACTCGAGATATATTGGGTATTCGACTTCCGCATGATACCTGACGACATCGACGACATTATCGGCACCGCTAACTACATCACCTGTTTCGATGTTTCCGATGAAGGCGATGAGATCCTTTTTGTCGATCACTCCCTTCGACCCAATGCCGTGTCAACTGTCCGTGCTGCACGCCTTCCTCTGGACGCTGGAGGGGATGAGCCAGCAAGCACAACATTTGCCATGACTACAACCGTCCTTCGATGTGGTTCTGGGGATATTCTTCGTCATGTCAATTTCGTCAAGAGATATGGTAATGCTATCTGGCTCGGCAGGGCCAATTCATATCTATGGATCGAAGTACTTCCACAGATGATGAATGGCTATCCCTCGGAGGACAAAGCCCCAGTGCTAAAACTATCTCCGCGCGATCTGACGATGTCGGACATTGGTGAGATGGCTATCAACCCAAATTGGGTAAGGTTATCTAAGCTAGAACTGAGAGCCCACCTGAAATCTTATTTAACGTGCAGATCTTGGATCGTGATTCCAAGGAATCAAGCACCTGCATGAAGGATGAAGATGAAGACATTGTGTTCCTCACCGGTCCAGTTCCTAACGATAAAAGTTACTTTATAGGCAATAGGCTCCATAAATATTTGGGTGACCACAACCTTGTTCCTTTCGGGAACAAGTGGTGCTCGCAGTATGGCTTTGCGTTGAAAGGGGACTTCAAGCTGGTCATGGTATATGACCGGATTGATATGTTCCGTTCCGTGATTCAAATGTGTACCCCCCCAAGGAAGCTGCTTTCTCCGTCTAGATCGATTCCAGGAAATCGACGACCCTGATCTTCGCGAGCGGATAGTGATCTCCCGCTGGAACCAGGCGACAAGGGAAGACTGCCTGGCTAACGACGATCCCCCTTCTCCAGATGGCACAATCCGAGGTTTGGACGTGGACGCTCTAATGGCAGAGTACTTTGCCCAAGTGGATCGGGAGGCTATCGAAGATGATCTTAGCATGGTGAATGAGTCTGGCGATGTCCACCTGCTGCGGGTTCAGTTGTGGGATAGGTTCGGCTTTGCGCCTCACTGAGAGGTTGTACTTGTTAGCTTGGCGAAATCTGGATACGGTATGTACAGTGTACTCAACTTTGTATCGACTTTGTACCTTAGTTAGTGTAATATTCGAGATGAGATGGACGTGGGCAGTGCTGAAACTCGCCGTACCCCACAGTTCAGGTGTTACATGCACGTCCATTTACACGCAATTGTAAAGATGAGGGATATGCCTTGCTGCGTCTTGGGGGATAGCGGTGTACGAATGGTAGTCTTCTCGCGCTTGGATGTGGGATCGCCGAAGAAATGGCGAGCTCGTGTGACCTGGCATCGGATTTCCACTGCAAGGGCGTGAGAGAGTCGACTTTTTTTTAGACGCTTCTTTTCGTGGTATTTTTAATTCTCTCATTGTATGTAGGAGATCAAGGATTAGAGGACGAAGGAGCGACTAGAGAGAGCACGGAGTGACTAGTACTAGTACGTAATGAATGCACAAGTAAGGGTGGCCCAAAATGCAATGCGGCAGATCGGAGCGGTGTTCTGGCTCCGAGGTTTACTCGGGGGTCATGGGCCACGTCCGCGTTTGAAGGGTGTGAGGTTGTGGGCGGAGAGTTATTACATGGTGCAAGTACTTGTGGTGCACTGAGTGAGTTAGGGATATGGAAGAGTATATGAAATAAAGAGAAGGTTTAGGCTGTGAAAGGGGATCATGTACGTGGCTGTGTTGTGTGACATCGCCTCGCCTTTGAAGTGCCTCTCCCTCGCCCCTCCACGGTCCAGGCACTTTACGGCGGTGAGACAAGAGATACGCCAGGGGAATATTCAGTCGTAAACGGTAACGCTTTCCCCCTTTCCCCGCTCTTTGTGTCTCTGCTTCACCCTTCTGTCGCCACTCTCTAAAGGGTGATGAAACGTGATTAGAAGAGGAAGGGAGAGGGAGAGAAGGGCAATAGAGAGCAGATCTCGATATCGCCCACTCACACACACCACACAACCCCTTTTCCACTCCTATCCGCTCTTCCCCTTCTTTCTCATTCATACTTGATCACACGGAATCTCATTCCTCCCTTCTCATTCCCTTGACATCCCCTTCCTCCCCTCCTCCTCCTCCTCCTCCTCCTCCTCCTCCTCCTCCTCC